GAATGATTCTACTAGAGCACCGTAAATTTCATCCGCTTTGAGTTGAAGAGCTTGTCTAGTTACGTCAACCACATCGTGTCTATAGAGAGTGCTGTTTTGTCTTCCGTGTCTTGCTTGGAGGAACAGATGCCAAGTATGGTAAAAGGTCTCCGAATCGTACCAATTCTATGCAACGTTCCATGTCACTTAGTAAATAATTAACGAAGTCTAAGTAATTTTTGTCGAGGGGGAAAGAAATTATTGCATTAACACGACATTGGACTCTAAAGGTAATGATTATACATATTTTCTAATCATTGTGTAAATCTTTGTCAAAGGTATGTACATGAAGCGACGACCACGTCTGTCGTACATTTAAATTACTATTGCTGCAGCTTTGAAACTGTGTAAAGGAAAATGTAATAGAATGATAATGAAGCGAGCTTACCCACGGCAGCTGATTTAAGCTCGGTCGCCTTGTAATCACGTATTTCCCTCTGATTTTCCGGGTGCCTGAGAAATTGTACACGGTTCTACCCAAATTCTTCCATGCTGCAACAGCGTACTCGTTCCACGCGCCGTATCTTCGACTGGCGTAATCTTCTAGCCTGAAAACGTTACTCTTTCACTAGGAAAATTCTTCTTTAATGAGGAGATCTCAATCTCTGTGCATGTGTATTTATTTACCAATTGTCCAAGTTGACGGGTTCCTGGCGATAGGCCATCTCGTTCATCAGCTCGTAAACAACGTAATTTTGATTTATGCCTTCTGGTGTCAAGCCTGTCCCGACCATTGTACTGCCTTTCATGTTTCTTCCTTCGAACACTCGCTGAAAGATAACCGGTAGTCGCGCAGATTAAACAATTAAAAAGTAATTGAAAGAATTAATAAATTTTCGAAGCGTACGAAGTGAAGTTGAATAATTGGAATAATTTTGTCGCCCGAGGTCATTTTTCAAACGCGTTCAAATTTGTTTCAACGCGAGATCGTAGCAGCAAGTAGCCAAGTAGTAGGCAGAAATCGTTTTGTATTTTTTATAGTTATGTCCAACCGAGTGTTATAAATATTTTCTACTTGTAACCAAGAATCTGCTACTATTTTCTTTTGTATTTACAATTACAGCGCATCCGTGAGAAACTTACGCGATTAATAATTTGAGCCGATCCGAACATTCCGAGAGTGCCGCCGAAATTGTGCAGCATGCACCAAATAAATGGCTGCCCATAGTAGGACTTCAGTCTGTTGTACTGTGGGAATTGTTCCGACTGAAGGTCCAACACGATCATTCTTCCCTAAATTGAGAATAGATATTGAGAGGAATATTGAATGTTTCTTTTGAATTTTTCAGATAGTTCATTCGAACGCGTTGCAGTCTCACCCTTTCAGATATAATAATCGGGTGATTCGCGATTTCTCTCTTATTTCAACACGTTTATTTCAATTTTATTTTATTATTTGTTCTTTTATTTTATTTCGTTTTGTTACTGAAGATTTATTTCATTTTTTTGAACATTTGAATACTCTGGAATTTTCTTTTACAAAATGTTTTTACTAAACACTATGCCTGTTTCACCGAGGTTTCTACACTTCTGTGTAATTCTGTTTCTACGATAATGCTTCGTAATTCTAGGCGATATATTGTATGGAAAAATATTAAAGTAAAGTAAATAAAACGGGTTAAATGTATTCATAAAAAATACTAGAGAAAAGTACTGAAAAAATGGGGTGAATGTATTCACAGAAAAGTATTAAAGTAAAGTACTAAAAAAAGGGTTAAATGTATTCACAAAAAATACTAGAGTAAAGTACTAAAAAAAGATTACATGTATTCACAAAAAACACTAAAGTACTAAAAAAGGGTTAAATGTATTCACAAAAAAATACTAGAGTAAAGTACTAAAAAAAGGGTTACATGTATTCACAAAAAACACTAGAGTGAAGTACTGAAAAAAGGGGGTGAATGTATTCACAAAAAATACTAGAGTAAAGTACTGAAAAAAGGGGGTCAATGTATTTACAAAAATACTAAAACACTACAAAAAGAGTTAAATGTATTCACAAAAAATACGAAAGTAAAATATTAAAAGAAGGATTAAATGTATTCACAAAAAATATTAGAGCAAAGTACTGAAAAAAGGGGTAAATGTATTCACAAAAAATACTACAGTAAAGTATTAAAAAAAGGTTAAATGTATTCACAAAAAATACTAGAGTAAAATACTAAAGAAGGGTTAAATGTGCTCATAAAAAATACTGGAGTAAGATACTAAAAAAAAAAAAGTTACATGTATTCACAAAAAATAATAGAGTAAAATACTAAAAAAAAAAGTTACATGTATTCACAAAAAAAAAAAAAAAAAAATACTAGAGTAAAGTACTAAAAGAAAGGGTTAAATGTATTCACCAGTGGGACAGAAGTTAAGAAAGCCTCGACTCTCGGTTCTGTCCAGAAAGCAGCATCGTGGACGAACAACCATCCTTGCATTAACCTTGAAAACATAATAACATTCACTTTCGTGCATCGGAAAATAGCGAAACGCATGAGTTAAAATTGTTTCCCAAATTTGCAAGCTGTAGCATCAGAGATATTATACTGCCGATCAAGAATTGAAGATCGTTACGTGCGTTTTGTAGTTATCAGAAATTATTTACAAAATTTCAACTTAGGTTTTCAAGCTTTCTCGTCAAACGTTTATCGAGGCAAAGAACATTATTATTATTAAACTGTGGAATTGATCTCCCGTTTGTAATAAAATTGACGATTCATTGTCAATTTCCAATTTCAGATAACGGAGCGAGGGAAGTAATTCTAAATTTTCAGCCCCTTCGCGCAAATTATTAAAATTGTTAATGAATCGACAGCTAAATTAACAGATTGTTAATACATCGCGATACCATATCGCCTGTGGATCAACGTTGATCATTGCTTGGAAGATCGAGTGCCCCACATTTCTCAGAAATCTCAGCTCGCTGGTGTACGGCTCGTTCTCGTTGAAAGTGTCGCAGTTGTAAACGTGATCGGTGCCAAATTCCTCGATGTACTGAAAGAGAGGCATCGTAAAACCATCATTCACTCGACAGAGTATTTTCTTTCTGATTTTTCGCCTACCGTTTGCAGAAACAGTTCTCCGATTCTTTGAAACAGCGGGTCCGTCGGTTCCAAGAGATACGGACTGAAAAAACGTGATAAGACAAACGTGATAACATCTCAAAACAAAGTCCAAAATGTACGAAAACTGGTCTGTTCGCGCGATTATTAATAATAATTATTAATAATAATAATAAGAATTATTATCGATTATCTCTGATTGACAAAGATTACAGTAAAGACGATCAAATCGATGAGGAATATATCGGCGAATCTTATCATTATCGATTAATTAATATTATCGCGAAAATCTGCACAAAGTAAGCTCGTCGTATTTTGACTTTCTTATTATCAAAATTTCGTTTATTTTAATAGTGATTAATTTTAATGAACAAATAATGAACAATGACAGAATAATAATAATAATACTATGAACAATGATAAAATAATAATAATAGTATGAATAATGATAGAATAATAATAATACTATGAACAATGATAGAACAATAATAATACTATGAACAATGATAGAATAATAATAATACTATGAACAATGATAGAACAATAATAATACTATGAACAATGATAAAATAATAATAATATTATGAACAATGATAGAACAATAATAATACTATGAACAATGATTGAATAATAATAATACTATGAACAATGATAGAACAATAATAATACTATGAACAATGATAAAATAATAATAATAGTATGAATAATGATTGAATGATAATAATACTATGAACAATGATAGAATAATAATAATACTATGAACAATGATAGAACAATAATAATACTATGAATAATGATAGAACAATAATAATACTATGAACAATGATAGAATAATAATAATACTATGAATAATGATAGAATAATAATAATACTATGAATAATGATAGAATAACAATAATACTATGAATAATGATTGAATAATAATAATACTATGAACAATGATAGAACAATAATAATACTATGAACAATGATAAAATAATAATAATAGTATGAATAATGATTGAATGATAATAATACTATGAACAATGATAGAATAATAATAATACTATGAACAATGATAGAACAATAATAATACTATGAATAATGATAGAACAATAATAATACTATGAACAATGATAGAATAATAATAATACTATGAATAATGATAGAATAATAATAATACTATGAATAATGATAGAATAACAATAATACTATGAATAATGATAGAATAATAATAATACTATGAATAATGATAGAATAATAATAATATTATGAACAATGATAGAACAATAATAATACTATGAATAATGATAGAACAATAATAATACTATGAACAACGATAAAATAATAATAATACTATAAACGATGCTAGAACAATAATAATACTGTGAACAATGATAAAATAATAATAATACTATGAACAATGATAGAATAATAATAATATTATAAAATGCACTTCCGTTGAGCATATTTTCTAAAAATTCAAATATTCTTGCAGAGAAGATGCGTAAGATTCATCGATGGTCATTTGTCATTAACATCGCGAAACCACCAATTTTATTATTTCGTTCCTTACCAGCAATATTTATCCGAAAACTGGTTCCAAGCTGTGCTTTTCGTCACGTTGGCGTTCGGGAACAATCTGGGAAAAGCTCTGGGCACGTGGCCAGCGAAAGCAGGAAGAACAGGAATGATCCCCAACTCCCTCATCCTCTGGATGATTCGGTGTTGTAGTCGAAGCGATTTTTCGTGCCACTTCGGCGTTAGAGGGCCACCGAAACCACGAATGTTGCCCATTCTAGACCTAAACGAAAAAATTAGATGAAAATATATGCTCCACTGCGATTTTGAGTGATTTTCAGAATCGTGGCACTCGAATATTTGGTTTAATTGTGTTAATGAGAACCATAGTAAGTGATTCCACACTTGACGAAGAGATTGAATGAAAATTTTGCTGTCAAACGAATTATGTTGTGACAAAGTTATTCTAAAAATCATCAATTTGAACCGAATTTGAATATTTGGTCTTGTTGTGTTAGCAAAAGTACGAATTCACAGTAATTTCTAAATTTAGATGTAACGAAACAATTAGGTGAAAATTGCAGTACACAATGAATCATTCTCATAGAGATTATTTTCAAAATCGTGAATTTGAATCGAATTTGAATATTTGGTTTTATTTATGTTAGCAAAAGTACGAATTCACAATAATTTCTAGATTTAGATGTAACGAAACAATTAGGGAAAAATTGCTGTACACGATGAATCATTCTCATAGAGATTATTTTCAAAATCGTGAAATTTGAGTATGTGTCAACTGTGTCAACTGTTAATGAACTTATGGATATATAATGTTATGACTTATTTATATTATAACTTACGAGAGATGTTATTCTAAAAACCATCGAACTCGAATATTTGGTTTGAGCCTGTTTCGTGGAAATATGTATTCACACGAGTGTAATATAATTCAATAAAATGTTCGTCACCACAAAAAGTGTTCTCGTGAACGTGAAGAATTGTACGATGACTATTGCAGCGAAGAATACGACGAAAGATTACCAAGGTAAAAACGCTGGCCCGCCAAAGTGTTCATTAATCTCGTCTGAAGTGAAATTCAATTGGAGGTATACTCTCTGCCAGATAGCCTCTTGCCCGTTAAAAGCAAGAGCCAAATTGATTCCATTAAGGGCCATCCAGTCGATGTTCCTTTCCCAATGTTCCCATTGCCACCATGCGGAGGTATAACCAAGGGTGCACACGTTCTGATAATACCTAAATCTGTGAAACAACCATTGAAAATTCCGTTTTACCTATGTCTTTTTATTAAAATCCTATACCTGTCGTTGGACGTGACTTTCACTCGAACGTCTGGCAAAGTCGGCGGAAGTTCGATCTGACTTCCCTCCCACGAAACGTGAACGTTGCAATAGTTCTTCAGGTAGTAGTGCAGACCCCAGGCCAAAGCCACGCCGGAACTGCCTATGATTTCCACTTGATCGAGCACGTTCTTCTTGATCTAATATTGAAAATTTGAAACTAGAATTTTAGAATATTGAGAATTAAAACTAGAATTTTAGAATTTTAGAATTTTAGAATTTTAGAATTTTAGAATTTTACAATTTTACAATTTTACAATTTTACAATTTTAGAATCTTAGAATTTTAGAATCTTAGAAGTTTAGAATCTTAGAATTTTAGAATCTTAGAATTCTACAATTTTACAATTTTACAATGTTAGAATCTTAGAATCTTGGAATCTTAGAATCTTAGAATCTTAGAATCTTAGAATCTTAGAATCTTAGAATCTTAGAATCTTAGAATCTTAGAATCTTAGAATCTTAGAATTTTAGAATCTTAGAATTCTAGAATCTTAGAATTCTAGAATCTTAGAATTTTAGAATCTTAAAATTTTAGAATCTTGGAATTTTAGAATCTTAGAATTTTACAATTTTACAATGTTAAAATCTTAGAATCTTAGAATTTTAGGATTTTAGAATTTTAGTATTTAGATATTGAAAATTAAAACTAAAATTTTTTACTGACTAGAAGTTCATCGGTCATTATAACAATACAGAGATTACACTCTGTGTGTCAAGTGCAAGAAGAGAATATAGGAAAATAAAGTCTATCGTGTTTTACGGCGCCAACCGGAAGCACACTTCCTGGTCACCAATATCTATTAATTAATATAATAATAGAAGACAAATCAGCAATATGTAAAGAAAATTACCAGAAACGTGTCTTTTCCTATAGGACCGAGTTCGGGGATCACGATCATCATGAATTTCCCGGCATGGTTTTGCCCCAACAGTCTTTCAGCAACGCCTCTGGCCGCCTCAGCCTGCACTTCCGGTGAAGTCTGAGGCATAATGTGACCGAGAGTATGCTGAAATGCTATTCAAATTTCCTTTTTACATGAAATTTACGTTCGAATTATTTGCAAGGAAATTGTAATTAAAACGTGAAATTTAACGTTTAATGTTAAATGTTGTTATAAATAATATTAAATTAATACCCTATTAAATATTACTATAATATTAAATATGAATATTATATCGTTTGAAGCAGAATTTTCACTGAAACGTGATTCAAAATTATTTAGAAACAAGTTAGAAATTTGCTTCACATCTTGCTTTTCATTTCTGTTAGTTCGTTCAATTCATTCTCAAGTACTCTTGACTTATTCCTTTTATTTAATCTCACCACTTAATTATACTAGCCAGCAAACCTGTAATATCTAAATTTCACGATCGCTCTTCGTTTGAAGACAAAGTTCAAATTAACAGATTGATAGTAAAATCGAAAATCAACATCGATAACAGAATGGTTTTATCATCATCTCAAGAAATGAGACACTATGGAAAATTTTCCAAGAAAGGTGCAATTTCGCACGCGAAATGCCAGAAAATATAAATAGAAAGACTTTTGAAAAAAAAATACCACCGTCGGTTTCAAAAGAAATCTTTCACAAATCTATAAAGAAAAGAAAAGTTAGAACGTTTTTAATCAGCCCGATTGACTGATTTTTACGAATTTAATAAAATATATATTGATTATATTAATTAAATTATGAATTATAAATCATTGATTCAAATATATTATTATATATATTTTTTAATATATTATTTTAGTTTTTTATATATTATTTAAAATATTTGAATATATAAATATTGCTATTTGAAATATTTAAATATGTAAATATTGCTATTTGAAATATTTAAATATGTAAATATTGCTATTTGAAATATTTAAATATGTAAATATTGCTATTTGAAATATTTAAATATGTAAATATTGCTATTTGAAATATTTAAATATGTAAATATTGCTATTTGAAATATTTAAATATGTAAATATTGCTATTTGAAATATTTAAATATTGCTATTTAAAATATTTAAATATAAAAATAGTGCTATTCAAAATATTTAAATATAAAAATAGTGCTATTTGAAATATTTAAATATAAAAATATTACTATTTAAAATATTTATATATAATATTTAAAATATATAATTCTCTATATATTTTATATGATTTTTAAAATATACAATATTTTATATATTTTATATATTATTTATTGATATATAATTTTCTTTTCAAAAGTATTTTTTAAAATTTCCTAGTAGAAATTTGAAGATTTCATTCACATGAAAATTCTGACAAAGACTTTTTGCAAGAAAATTGAAAAATCTCCTGAAAGCGAAGACTGTGACACGAGGATCGTGTGCGTACACGAGATTTCCAAAAATTCTACTTACCATCTGGCTTTGGACTCTGACAGAAAACTGTCAGATATCCAGAGGAAAGAACGACGAACGCCAGTAATGAATGGATCGACATCACTGCACGTAATGCGTAAATGTATCGCGTCTCGAAGAATGAAACCACCGACGAGGTACGAGATGAAACGACTGAAAGAGATGGAAGTCGTTAACGCATTTACTAGTCTCTCCCTTCTCCTTCGCCATTTCTCCTTATCTCACGAGGCCTCTGACCACTGTGTGATTGCCAGTAGTCCGCGTAGTGCAATTATGCTCGCGTCACTCATCTCGGGATCATCTTCATCTTTCGTTCGTCTCGTTCGTCTCAGTGAGTAAATCAATTTTTCAACTATGAGTAAAACTATATAACGACGATCGAAGCACGAAAATTTCATTGAAATAAAATGAAAAGAGAAAGAAAATAGAAAATATTTGTGGTACAACGGAGTACGAGAGTTTTTATTATTTGTTACATTTGAATCTCTAAAAGTGTGCACTGTTTCGCATAAAATATTGGCCATTTTGACCAGTTTTGATCGATGAACCTCAAATTGTCGTGATAGATTCGAGGTCGTTTTAATCAAATTATATAAAAATGAAGTGGATTTTTTGGAAAATAAGTGAGAGCGATAAAGCGAATATGTGTTCAAATTTAAAAAATTGGTTGATTCGAGTCTTTTTTGAATCGTCAATTCCTTTCTTTAGTGCTTCGTCATTTGCAGAAACAAAAAAAAAAAGCAGCATAGAGTGAACAAACAACTTCTTCCTAAAGTAATTGCACAAAATAATCGTAAAATTATACTAATTTCCTTTATAAAAAGAATTCAATTTAGCCTACCATCTTTTTAAATTTCCATATTTCTAAAAATATTTTCTCATTCTCGCAAGTGGAAGAACAATTCAAAACCTTCGTAAATTTTATAACGAGCCATCCTTCCTCGACATAATTACGCAATTCAAGAATTTCATGACAAATAATTCTTCGAAAGAAGAGAAGTTTCGAGGAGAAGATTCACCTTCTCAGGTGTAATGTACGCAGACTTTCTATAACAATCGAAAACTTTATTCGACGCGAAACAGCTTTTGAACATACTTCCATGACGTTCCAAAATACACGGGACCATAAACATCGAATGAGAACCGGTCCCAATTATTCTAGAACAACCGATGTACACGTAACAATAATTAACAATAAATCGAACGTACAAATCGCGCGTTTATATTGTCTCGGAGTCTCTTGAATGTTCCTGGAATCGCTCTCGATTGAACTGGCGCGTTGAGAATACTATATTTCATACCTGTTGCTATATATTGACATTTTTCAGAGCGATTCGAGTGTCTACTTTCAAAGAGAAAAGGCCATTTTTAGAAAGCGATTTTAAGTTTCTCGTTTTCGTCTATCTCGGCTTTGCTTCTTCTTCTCGGTGGTTCAATTCCACTGGCGAGCCACTGGATCGGTGAACAAACACCTCGTCGCCGATCTTTACGCTTCCTGGGACGTACAAGCCGCAATATATTCCCATCATTGGCGCCTTTCCCTCCAGAGATATCCGTTCTGGATCGGCTTGCTGCCTGAAACTGCGAATTATTAGAAACCAATTCGATAAAAAAAAGCTAGAGTTTTTCGATGAAAATTGATTTGGGACTAATTTTGAAAATAATTCGTTGGATGAATCTTGAATTAATTTTCTGATTGATTAAATTTTAAAAGTGATATTGAAATTAATTCTGATATTTCTTCGTTATTAATTCTGACAAATTAAATTTAACTTCGTTTTCTGATAAACTAACTTTCAAACTAAAATTAAGTTTAGTTTCCGAGTGATTAAATTGAATGAGAGGCAAATTTCTGAAATTAATTCTGATATTTCTTCTGACTACTAAGTTAATATTTAAACTACTTAATACTTAAACTAAGTTAATATTTAACAAAAGTTAAATATTAATATAATATAGATATAATATAAATGTTAATATATATAATATAAATATTAATATATATAATATTATAATTATAATATATATATATATAATATAAATATTAATATAATATTTAAATCTTAAATATTAATATAATATTAATATAATTATATGTGAAAATTCTTAGATTATCTTAATAAATAGATTACGAATTTTTGTGCAAGGACAATTAAGAAAAGAGGAACCTGAATGTCTGATAGGTTTGTTTCAACCACTTCAAAGTTACGAAGAATATTGTATCTTTCTGTATTTTATATATTTTTAAGTATCATTTAAATATTTCTTTTTTCTATCTTTAAATTCTCTTCAAACACGCACAAAAATCCGCAGCCTATCAACAGAAAGTGATATGATCTTCGTTTTATATTATATTTACGATTTCAAAGTTTTCAACGGCTCCTCCTTGTCCATTACACCATTTTCTGGATTCAGGCCCACTAGTTTACACCTGTGAGAATCAATTTTTATCACGAAATGAATTCTCAATGTCCTAAAGAATTATTTAAATAAATATTATTATTTAAATAAAAGTTATTAATCATTATTAAATAATATTACTAATTATATTAATTATATAAATAATATTATTAATTATTATTATATCTCAATGTCTGAAAGAATTATTTAAATAATTATTTGAAATATATTTTTACTGTACCGTGTGCAGGGCTTGACGTTTCTGATCACCACTCGTTCGCCGATTTTTATCCACTCCCACTGATCCTCCTCGAATGGTTGTTGCGTGGACACCAAAATATTTGGACGGAATTGTAGAGCAGGCACTGGTCTCTCTAGTTTCTCGTTCAACTGCTCCATCGACCGCGTGGTCATTAGCATGTAGCTGGCCAAATCGCTGAACAGGCCCTAAAGAAATATTTCTTTCGTTGGTAGAGAGGAAAAAGATTCCAAAAAATGAAGAAGAAGAAAAAAAATGAAAGAAGCAATTACAGTGTCTTCGTTCCTAAGTGTTTGGTATACTTTGGTGAACTTCTTCCACGGCTCGACGAAAACGTTCCTTTTGTCCATCATCGTGTATCCCAATCGAAGACCGGAAGTCGTCCCGGTCAAAAATCTGGAGAATATGTAGATTTCATTAATAAACACTTTGGCTGGTTATAGATTTCAGATCATCTTTCTTTGTCGTGTGAAATTTATTATGAATATTCATTAGAAATCATCTCAATTAGATCTCTAATTCCGATTGATTCTAAAAAAAAAAAAAAAGGTCTAGATAAAAGTTGTGGTAATTATTCGCTAACCGTTCTCTCTTTCATATTCTGTGAAAAGTGCATACAAAATTTTTAATCAGTGAAAACAATTTTTAAGAGTATATAAATTTGAGAGATTACCAATTAATAGAAATTAAAATTTTTGTTAATCTCTTAATCTCCTATTGATAATTAATGTTAATAAGTTAATATTAATATATAATTATATTATATTAATATTATAAATATAATTATATAATATTATATTAATACAATATTTTATATTAATGTAATGATAGTAATATTAGTATATTGATATTCTTATATTATTACATTAATATAATGTAATAATATTAATATTAGTATATTGATATTCTTATATTATTACATTATATTAATGTAATAATATTAATATTAGTATATTGAGATATTCTCATATTATTACATTATATTAATGTAATAATATTATTATTAGTATATTGATATTCTTATATTATTACATTATATTAATGTAATAATATTAATATTAGTATATTGAGATATTCTCATATTATTACATTATATTAATGTAATAATATTAATATTAGTATATTAATGTTCTTATATTATTATATTATATTAATATAATAGCATTAATATTAGTATATTGACATTATTATATTATTAAGTGCAATATATATTGCAACATAAGAGAATGGAGGAGGGAAGATAGACGCAAACCTCGACAACCATTCAGCGGATTCTGTGCCGCAATCGATACACTTCACCGGCTCTCCCCACCACATGGTGCACTGAACGGCTTCAGAAGCGTTCTCCGGGTTCCTTGGAACTTGGAAGATCACGCTGGGCATCCCAACAGCCTCCAACTTCACCTTAGTCTCGTCCACCGCGGACAGGCTCACTAGGATCAACGTTGGATACTGCCTCCCGGTTTGAAAGCGTCCAGTCTCCTCGTTGTACACTAGAAACATTCTGATGAACAGCAGGGGATTCATCTTTGGTCCGTTTGGGAAGGGGGCTCTTGGATTTTATAATCAATGCTCATAATTGGGTCTATTGTATTTAGAATAGTATGTCGCTTTCCTTCAGTGAAACTGATTGGCAATTACATACAAATGCACTTTCATATGGATTTTTTAAATGCTCATGAACATAATTAGAGAAATGGATCGTTTCTTCTGCACAGAATTGTGATTAATATTGTTCTTTGGATATTTCATATATTTTCGCATATTATGCTTAAATATAGATAAAAATCTTACTAATGCTTATCGATGAAAGAAGTACAATTTTTGATGAAGTAATGGAAATGATGGACTTTTATATAATTGTGTGCATGTTGGAGATTCAGGTTAAGGCAAACTTGAATAAAGGAAGAATGATGGTTCTTGGTTAATATTGAGTATTATTTTTACAAAAAATTAGATTAATCGAGTAATCTATAGAGGGTAAATGAATTTTATGTCAAAGCACTTGTGCCTAATATAATATTAAGAGCATCATTGAGTGTCATATTAAGATCAATATCATCACTAAAAATATTAATATGATGCAATATACATAGAAACAAATGTATAATAAATAGTCAAAATTAATATACATATAATGAACGAATTTTGTAACATAACGTGATACATAAACATGATATACAACATAAAGCAATTAATCTGAAATATTGTAAAACAAGGTATATCCCAAAGTTCATGACATACATAGAAACGAATGTAATAATAAATAGTGAAAATTAATCTGAAATACTGTAAACCAAGGTATATCCCAAAGTTTATGATATACATAGAAACGAATGTAATAATAAATAGTGAAAATTAATCTGAAATACTGTAAACCAAGGTATATCCCAAAGTTTATGATATACATAGAAACGAATGTAATAATAAATAGTGAAAATTAATCTGAAATACTGTAAACCAAGGTATATCCCAAAGTTTATGATATACATAGAAACGAATGTAATAATAAATAGTGAAAATTAATATACATATAATAAACGAATTTTGTAACATAACACAATTAATCTGAAATACTAAAGAAAAAAAAAAAAAAAGAAAAAACAAGGATACATATCCCAAAGTTGATGCCTAACATTAACTCTAAAACCAAGGTTCTAAATTAAAAATATTACACTATAACAATACCAATGTAAAGTATGAAATTTTATTTTTATTTATTTAGCATCCCCTACATCTAGAGAATGTTCAGCATCACAAAACGTTTGATTACCTGTCTCTGAGCTTGAACTTGCCCGGATCCCCGCAACTGATTCCCCAATTGGTGAAGTCGCATTCCCTCAGGCTCCTCCCTCGGCCAGACTTCAACGGGTACATGTACAATTCCTGAATTTCGCCAACCTTCTCCCAATTTGGATCTGGCAGTTCGTTAATCGTGTCATCACACGCACGCTCTTCATTACTCTTCTCGCTTTCCCTCGTTCCCTCCTCGTTCTCTTCCTCAGTTCCCTCCGCGTTTGACTTCACCTCGCTGTTAACATCCGGTTTGTTCCTCGACGTCGTCTCATTTTTCGAACTCGGTTTCCGCTTCTCGTGGGACGTGGTCCTCACGGTCCACACTGCAACCACGAGGATGGCCGCGCAGCTGCACGTTATCGCGATAGTCGACCGCCAGTCCTAGAAAAAACACACGACCTTGTGTGAAAATGGAACACGACCCAGTCCGACAGTTGTTAAATAGCGCGTGTAGATATGTACATTTGGATGAGAGAGGCGTTCGTGACGGAGGTTCGAAGTTCGTTTGACAAGATTCTTGTTTTTTTTTTTTTTTTTTTTTTTTTTTTTTTAAAAATTTTTTTTTTTTTTTTTTTTTTTTTTTTTTTTTTTTTTTTTCTTTTTAAACTCTTCTGTTGCCTTGACTAAGTCAGCCTGGCTCCCTTCGTCCCTCTTATTTTTTTATTCTCCACCCTCTAGAAAAAGTCTTGAATCTATCCTCGTTTGCATGCCAGCCTTGTGACATGTCCCCTTTGTCGATGGAGCTACGTTACCAAACACGGCTGCCACTTTGGGAAAATTTGGATTCGTATGGCTCACTGTCGTCCGTTACGTTTATTATCTGTGATTAGATCGTACGCACTTATCACAACACAGCTTTCTTCTTCGTTCTTGTATTCAGAGCTAGATTCTCTTTTTGTTTGTTTTTATTTTTATTATTCAATGACCGAGGTAAGTAAAATTGTCGTCGTTGGTTGTTCGAACGATGGTACCGTAGCTCCGGAAGACCTCGACCGCACTTTTACAACCCAACAAAACGAAATAACAACGATTTCTCCAAAGCGAGCCGATGGTTCCTGTTGTAGTTGACAGCTGTCGTCTGCAGCGAGCTCCGAGTCGAAGAGAATCGGACTGGCCTCCGCTTGAAAGAGCGGGGAAATGACGCGGAAAAGGGGGTTGTTCGTTTGGAATATCTCGCGACCGATTAAACATGCCGACAGTCTCATTGTTCGTGTGACTTCACTAACTTCAAATTCAGCAGAAAATTTTCACTATTCGCTATTCATTCGTATACACAGAAACATAGAAATCGTGTATAACAATCTTTGCATAGATTAGTCAGAAATTCGACATAGAAACTTTATAAAACTTCAGCATAGAAATTCATACCGTGTGTTTCATTTGTAAAAAAAAAAAAAAAACGAAATTAACACATACAACTCGGTATAACTGAAATTTCTAAAATTTGGATAATATAAAAAAATCAATTTAAATTATTTTTCTATTTGGAACTTCATTTTTTTCTTTCTTTCTTTTTTTTTTTTTTTTTTTGATAATTCGACGAAAGATTTAAGTGGAGGCTGGTCCACGCTATAATGGCTGCCATGAAAGAGTCGTCGACTCGCCGCGAGATATTCTTGTCTGTGAGAAAAACATGCACGTTTGGCTTTTGCTGCGCAATTGGGGTTGGAGTGACACGTTCTCTCTGCACTAGTTAACGTCGAAAAACGTCTCACGAGTCAATCTCTCTTCTCAATGTCTCTCTATATTCTTCTATTTCCATCTGTTTTTTCTCTCCGTCATATATATATACATATATATATATATTTTTTTTTTTCAAATCAATTTCTCTATCTCTCAATTTTCTATCTGTCTCTCTCTCTCTCTCTCTCTCTCTGTCTTATTGTGCACTCTAAATCTCTTTGTTTCTCTCTTTTTATTTCTTTTTATTTTTCAACCCACCCCAGTCCGCATTGACTCGTGAAAAGACGAATCAATCAGCCGTAGGCTAGCCATTTTTCTGACCAATTTTCTCTATCACTTTCTTTCTCTCTTTCTCTCTCTCTCTCTCTCTCTTTTTTTTGCCACACATCACTGTCTGGAATCAATCTCTCTTGTATCTGACTCGTTGTGTATTTGCTTACTGCAGGCGACGGCTGTTTCTACATCGGCATGGGAGGTAAAAGCGCGAAACCCAAGATTCCCTCCTATGAGCCCTACCAGTGCTGTCCTGCCAAGGTCGCCCACGGCACCAAGGTCGCCAAGGTCACGAAAGTCGGCCCGGTGACCAAGGACAAGGGCAAAGTACATGAGAGGTCCGAAAAGCTGGCGCTACCCGGCCTGAAGCCGATTAACAAGCTCACCGCGAAGGACAGCAAAAAGACTGCCACGGTGTCATCGAGGGTTAGCAAACCGAGCGACCAGAAGGCCAAGAAGGGATTCTTCGGAAGCGGTAAATATCTGAACTGGCTGTGGTAATCCGCGGAGTTAAATCACTGCCCATGAACACCCAGGACCTGACTTGAAGCGAACTCGAACCGAATCAACGTTCATCATCGAAGATTAAAGTTTGATTTGGTTTGATAAAGATGGTAATGAATGGGGGGGGGGGAGGGACGAGGGGTGGGAAAGAACATGAAGTGTTTCACGTGTTTGGGCTAAGGCTGTAGCTTGTTTGATGCGTGAGAGAGTTCTCTGTTTTTATTTTATTTCTGTTTTCATTTTATATCAAATTGTTTGCATCAGATTATCTAAAAATAATTAACTCAAAGGATATTTTTGAGTTTAATTTTATCGAAAAGCCAACGACACGCTGTTCCTGCATTCATATCTTGTTTATTTTTAATTTTCACCTCGCGTGATTTTTGTCTGCCTTTCGTCGTTTCAATATTACAGCTTGGCCCAGTTGCATGGAACACTCGTACACGTACATACAGGATATTAGAGAAATTTGAACGATACTTATAAGATCTAACATTAGACATTAAGACAATTAACAGAAGGAAACTTATCAGTAGCAGCTACTAGTCTCTTCCTACTGTTCTAAGTACTAAATTATAATTCGTAATTTTTTCACATTGTATAATTATGTACTGGAGAAACAATTCAAGAAATTATTTGTCTCAATGTCTAAATTATCACATCTTATAAATATTTTTCTCACTCTTTTTCTAACATCCATGCCTGGCATACGGACGAACTATAATACAACGCTGAAGCAAATTAGTGTCCACGCGAAGAGTGGGCAGTGATTTAATTGGCAAAGTAGGGAGCACGTAGCAGAGGGTGTTAGATGATAGAAAAAAAAAAAAAAAAAAAAAAAACGAAGTGACAGCCGATCTGTGTGAAGACGGGGGCTGGTAAGAAACGTTGAGTGAGAAAAAGGGCCCGCTGACGAAACAGTCTTCGTATCTGGAATACAGGTGTGTCGCGCGGTCCATGAAGAGAATCACGAGCCGCAAGTTCTGCAGACGAGCAAGACGATCCAAGAAAACGTGCCTAGGAATACCGGTGGGCTGCCTCCTCGGATTCCTCGAATCGTCGGGATAACAGTTTCGCGAGAGTCTCTAGCCTTCTAACACACACGTTCGATCAACCATCTTGTGAACGTTCTAGAGCGACCGGATATAATATGCGTAACTGTTAAATGCAATTCAACCGCGACGGAGCTATAATCTTTTCAATGTTTTAACATGTAATCTTTCAATGTTCTTCTTTTTTTTCTTTTTTCTTTCTTTTTTTCTTTCTTTTTCTTAAGTTCAGCTTACAACTGGATCGTTGAGCAACGTTTCTATTTTATTTCGATTTTCTTTCTTTTCGAGAATCGGTGTTATAGCTCCGTCTGATTGTCTGCCAGATCCTTTCCCGCTTCCTGCTACTATTGTGTACGTCTGTCCAACAGCCTTGTAATCGTTGATCGAATCCGTGACAATTAAACGAAACGAACGATTCGCTCACACGCGATTCGCCGAGCTATATACGCATAATGTTGTCGTCGGCTTTGAAGAGACAAAAATGAAAAAAAAAAAAAAAAATATGCCGTGATGAGAAAGGATACAGTTTTTCTACGTCTCACTGAGAGTTGGGTCGGGGGTTGTGGCCTGTTGCAGTTGTGGCCGGGCTTCCGTACATCATGAAAGTCTAGAGAACGAGAGCAGGCAAGGAAGCACGGGGTGGAGGTGAAGGACGAAATTGGATCACAGAATGAGAGAGAGAAAGAAAGAGAGAGAGAGAGAGAGACAGACAGACATAAAAAGAAGACACAGAGGGAATACGACGAGATACTGAAATGGAAGAGAAGAAGAAACGAAGACACTAAGACACTACAGAAGAAATGTAGATTTTGTAAAATAGATTACGAGAGAGTTTCGTTCATCGAGCAAACTTGTTCCTGAAACTATTTTTATCGTCATTTCGATTTGTCATCGATATCTCGCAAGCATCATCATCATCGACGTAATCACCTGTCTCCTCCACGTTCATCATCACACGAACAAAATATCACAAAATCTCGTTGCGTATCCATAAGTTGATCATCGAATGAATCATGCGCCCCTCTCCTTATCTGTTACCCCCGAGACACACCCCCTCCCACTCCCCTTCATATTTTCCAAGCACTCACGTCCCCTCCTCCCTCCTCTCCCTCGAACGATCGTTCTTATAAAACTTTTTATAAAAATGTGTTTGTTGAAAAACAAAAACACAGCGAATATACATGGAGCAACGAACTCGAACAACATTATCGTCACGTTCAATTCAATTCAAGCGTATCTCAAGTCAATATTATAACAAAGCGCACACGCTTCTCGAGAAACATAAGACTTTGCACAGTCCGTCACGAGACGATTTTTAATGGTCGATTTATTGAACCGATATGAGAAACCCATGCGTTCATCGCGCGAGAACCCGCGTGCGCGTGAATCAAAGAATGCCTGAGAATCGAACATCGTCCTGCCAATAAATTAGTCTTGCGTATCGTTGTTTTATTGTCATATATCGTCGTGACGATGCGATACCGCCGTCCCATTGCATTTTCGATCGATAACGCTCGCGAGTGAACGGGAGTTAGGGCTTCTCTGTTTGTCGCGGCAACCGATCGATCGTCGACGATCGAATGGAAAATGTGGGCTGTTCGCTGTTTGCCGAACGTCTCTTATAGTGTTCTACCTAGATCTCGCGGTATAGGTTGTAGCGACGGGTACTTTCTTTCGTTGAGTTTTATTACTTTCTCTCGTTGGTCTTTTAATCCTGGAATCCCGAGGACGCTGGAATAATTATCTTCAAATGAGGAATAGAGTATTCAAGAAGTTATTTTTATTTTTTAATTAACCCTCCAGTCATTACGATGTTTGATCATTTCGGCACGCTTCGCTTTATTATAGTCGCATTTTTAGAATATCTCAATGACAACTAGAAATATTTTCTATTTCCTTCGTCTATCTTTCTTCATATAGAAAAATGAAATTACTTTGGACTGGAGGGTTAAGTTCTCTTCGATTCGCGCGCTAAACCGAACGAAGATTCGATCCATTCGAAGTTCCTCTTCGAGGCGTCGCGTCTTGATTCCAAGATTGAAACGACTTGGATTCTTAACTATATAATTCCTTAATCGAACAGCAGATCTCTCCAGAGTATGTTTATGTCAAGTGCACCGCGTACTAACGTAGGTTTGTAGCCACGTGCTGATCAATCGATCAATCTGGAATAAACGACTACTTTGACCCTCCGCTCGATCTTTCTTGACTTCATTCCAGAGACTCGAGATTACGCTCACGATTTATCTCGTTTCAGATTCTTCGCCTACGCGAATCTACGCAGATACTATCTGCCAGTCGAATTTACAAAAATACTTATGATTTCCTTTCTCTTGGATCGCATCCCCCTATTCTCCTTTTACTTCCTCTCTCTTTTTTTGTAATTTACATCTCGCACATCTCTATAGCGATACAATGCGATCTCTATTTTGTACATGCACACACACACCATCATTTAACATTTACATTAAACATTTGAGAGTCAAAAAAGGCGGGAAAAATATGACAAGTCCATTTTTTTTTTGTAGTTGGAAAGAAGAATTTAAGAATATGCGACAAATCCACGATGTTTTATAAGAAACGTAAACGTTTTAATTCTGTGTTTTATACAGACACATGTTTCAGCTGACCACGCATTTAATTCTATGCAATATGACGCGTTATATTTCAAAAAATCTTTTTAAAAAATTGATTCATCATATTTTTTATCCGCAGTCTTTATGCAATACATTGATGCACGATGCTTCTTACCTGTACACCATGATCGTGGCTGTGACATAAACATACCCTCTCTGAAATATTCCTCAACAGTAAAACGTCGAGAAACACGTGCGCTTCTTGTTACGCCAGCTATCACTAATCGCTTTGATCGCTTTCTGGGCCGCACGAGCCAGCACTAAAAAGAAAAAAAAAATATCAAAATCACAAAAAACATATATACACATAGAAAATAAAATGAACGACAGTAAAAGAAAAGTCCGAAAAATACAAAGCACAAAGAAAACACATGGAAAATTCTTGTTCTTTTCCTCCCCTTTCGAACTTAACCGGACGAAAGTCAGGGGAAGGAAAAATCGTAAGAAACACGCTCACCTTTATTTATTTATTTATTTATTTATTTATTTATTTATTTATTTATACAAATGTCTTATTCTGTTGAGTTCTGTATTCATTGTGGTTCTCGCCGTACGTTAAATCGAAAATGCCGATAATCTGTACGAGAGCTGTATTTGGTATAAAAGTAACATCGCGTGGACACTGTACTTTCGTCGCGGTCACCGATCCTCGAGCGCGATAATTAATCAACAAATCATAATTTACAAAGTGAATTTCAAATCTGGTGATAAAGAGAATACATAAAAATATGGGGAACTTGACAATACAGAAATCAAAATTCGAGAAAAAATATAAGTTTTACTCGACGAGAGAGAGAGAGAGAGAGAGAGAGAGGAATCATTCGATCATTTTAATCATCGCGCTGCGTCTGTGATCGCGATTGATCAGACTCGTAAAACGTTTTTGCGCATTTTCTGCCGTACGGCATCCTCGTTAATCGCATAAGAGCAACATGTACGATAATAAAAACTCGATAATAAATATGTTTCCTAGTACCAATTAGTATCCTTTTGTATTTGCTTTGCCCGTTACTACTGCTAATGACAGATGGTAGAGTCCTCCAACCCTTTATCTATCATTTCTCCAGAGATAGATGGATTGAAAGTCGAAAAATCGTGTTCCCGTGAACGTCCAACGAATGAAATGAAACTGTACGCAGTTTCACATGCGATACTTGTACAATAGTTTCTCGCTTTTGTTTCACCGTTTGTTTCTATTCAGATGTTTGTCAGAGACGTTATGATAAACTGGACTCGACGAACAAACACACTTCACGATACTTCGGCAACACGGTCATCAAATTTCCACCGAGGATTTTCTCGACGTCCATACCTCTCAAAAACTAAATGCCAGAAAAAAAAAACGCATCGCCTAAAAAATGTTTTCATTAACAGTAGAACTACCAAATCGGTCAAATTTGTAATTTTTCATGGCAATTTTCATAGATCTACAGTGGTGGATTTTTGTAAATTTGAATATCGTTTTTTTTTTTTTTTTTGTGAGAAATAAATGTTCCTTACACTTAAATTTATCTGATATCAACGTTATACTTCAATTGGTAGTTCTAGTGTTAGAATTGAGATTGAAAAGTTGGTGCTATAAATTTTACGTACATGTAAATCGTAAATCGATTCACTTATCAATGAGCATTTTCTTTCAATAATTTCGATATTCATCGGTGAACTATGTCACGACTTGTATGTATACGAAGGGTAAGTTTCCTCCGACATCTAGAAATCTCCAGAAATTACCAAAATACGAAAAGAATAGCCATTCCAGATCTTGAATAAAATGACATCTATAAAAATCTGAGAGTTGGTTTCTTTGACTAATTGTTTGATTAATTACGATGATAAATAAGGGTTCGATAATTCGAGCAACGAATTAATGCGATAACTTAGGTAATCTGCTAGACGAAACGGAAGTGCTTGATTGGATGGTGAAGCAGAAGACAGACGAGAGTATCGAAGAAATCGATCGTGACACCCTGACCAAATATATCGAGACGAAAGAATTCCTGGCTGTTATTTTCTGTAAGATATAGCCCACTTTTTCTCTCTGCAAATTCTTTGCAAAATTGTTGACTGCCAGCGGTAAGTTACATAATTCGCCGGTTGACTTGTTCGTTTCGAATTTACAATTACGAGAGTCGATCTAATATCATAGAAAGATTCGATGAGAAATTTTCTCTATACACTCAACGATTCATCGCTGAAATTTTTCCAAACTCATAACTGTTTTTAATTAAACATAACTGACGTGTTTTCAAATAAAATTCATCCCTTAAGTGATCGAGTAACAATTGAAACGATCGTATATGCAACTCTTATAAATAAACTATCGATGTTAATGCATTTATGGAAAGTTCAAATACACCAAAATATGTAAAATAAGATTTCTATTAAGGTTTTGCGAATTTTTACACATTCGAGGAAAACTTATAAAGTAGTTTCAGATGAATATTAAATAATATATGAAAATATAATACTATCCAACGTATATAAAATATTCAAAATACTTGGATTTCATTTTTTTCCGTTTTCTTCTCTGTTGTGTTCGCAAAAATATAAATTTGCATAAACATCCTTAGTTTACTCAGAAAGAGAAAGTCTCTCTAACGAGAATCTTAAGGAGTTGATATTACTTTCGCTTTGAAACGAAACGAAAAAAAGAAAAGACTCTCGATCCCGTAGACAAGGAGGAGGATCCAGAGAGTCCTAGGGTACTTAGGCACGTCGAGTTGATCGACGATGAAGCTGCTGAGTACGGTATAAAGATCGTGAGAATGAAGGATCGATTGATGGCGAAGAAATATGGCTACCGGAACCCGCCCGGTATCACGTACTTCCGCAAGGGCAAGAACATCAATTACGACGGGGACATCGACGACGAGGAGGAAATTCTCGACTGGCTGACCAATCCTGAGAACATGGAGCTGACCGATCACATCGAAAGAATCAATAAGAAGATGTTTCAGAAGATACGGCAGACCACTGATTACTTGGCGGTGTTCTTCTGTGAGTATTGAATTTAAAGGAGAAATTATATGTCTGAGAACAAAATTTACAAATTAGATCGAATTGTGAGATTACAATTACAATTAAAGATCAAGATGAGAGCATTTTAATTAGTGGGCTTGAAGACTTGAACTCGTTTGGGAGATCTTCATTTTCTATTTTAATTTTTTTATTTCAACCCTAATGCGGGTAACTCGCTTTTATAACTGCGCTTTTCAATATTGAAATATTTTGGAATGAAAATTCAGGATGTTTCTTTTTTTTTTAATTTTTGTAAAATAGAAAATTGTCAAAAGACTGTCAACAGTGAAAGGATTAACGCAGTATAGAAATAAAATAAAACAGATACAATTATTGTTTTGAACAAAAAAAAAAAAAAAAAAAAAAAAAACGAGACTTTCGAGCATGTCGAACGCGGTGGCGCGCGTATGTTTAGACAGCAACGACTGCAAACAGTGTGGCAGAGTATTGGCGGAAATCGAACATATCGATGACGAGGCGGACAGTGTTGGAATAAAGTTCGTGAAGATTGACGACAAACAACTGGCCAAACAATATGGTGTCTTTGCGTTACCCGCCATATTGTTCTTTAAAATGTCCTCGAAGGAACCAGTCATCTATGCAGGTACAATGATCGCAAACGTGATAGAATTAATTTAAAATTAATCGAATTTTATCTTGAACCAAAGGCGATCTGTACGACGAAGATCAGATTTTACAATGGCTGTTGACGCAAAAAGATCCATCCGGAGAGGTAATCGAAGATTTGGAGGGTGAAGATCTGCTAAATTTGATAAGGGAGTCGGAATCGTTAGCAGTATACTTCTGTAAGTCTGACAGTCCTTCAGCCACGGCCAATTGCCAAGCAGGAATGTATCTCTAGCCTGTTGCGTGGTTCTTCCATGTTCCTAATACATTTGTGCTATCACCTCCTTTTCCATACTCTATTCCGCTCTTTATATTCACAAGAATATAGTTGTAAATTCAAGCATTCACATTTACATCTTACTTCATCGATAAAGTCGAGAAAATCGTTTCAGTGATATCGATCGTTAACACTAGATCTACTAGAAAATTATTAAAAATGAAACTATCTTTACAATTGTTAAAAATATAGTTTTTGATAAAGTTAGTGTTGGTTTTCGTGGAAGAAGAAGCATTTAGTATTTTTATTTAACTTTGGGACTACGTGCATTTTTCCACTCTCCCCGTAATTGCATTTTAACAAATATATCTTCGATTAGGTCTAACAGGTTAAGATATTTTAATAGTATGAAATAGTTGAAAATTGGATGCTTGTATTCCTTACTTTTTGATTTATTAAATCACTCTCTATATGTATGCATATTATAAAATATTGTCGATAGTTCTAATGTTAAAACTATAATCAGAAGATAACATTTAGAGCGGATTTCCTGCCATTCCATTCTTTTTTTCACACTGTTCTATCAATCTGTCTTTTCTCTTTCTTTCTGGCGAAGAGAATTCCATCTTACCGTAGCCATACTCGTCTGCGTATATTAATTCTCGCTCTACGTGAAATTCTTGCACTGAATTTCAATTCTCGTCAAACATGTACATACACTACCGCGGAATTTTTGTTATATTGTATTTGTCTACGTAATTTTCGCTTAATTGTGTCGCAACAATTAACCAATTTTTTTTTTCTTTTCAATTCTAAGTTGTCCGTTGTCCTTTTTTCTTTTAATCTGTCGTCTTCTGTATATATCTCTTCACGATCATTGCTACTTGGCTTGTCTTTTCTCTCTCTCTCTCTCTCTCTCTCTCTCTCTCTCTCTCTCTCTCTCTCTCTTTCACTTTTATCTGTCTTTTTGTCCGTCCATACGCTATACACGTTGTCTGCTAATGCCGCAGGGAACAGAACGCTTTGTGACTTGTGTCAGGCAAAATATCAGCGGAAGCAGACCCGCCAGAGGAGCAAGATCGTCGAACACGAAGCAGCCGAGGAACTCGATGGTACACGTGAACACAGAAAAAGAGAACAATTGATTTGTCGACCTGATCTTCTTTTTTTTTTTCTTTTTCTTTCTCTACTGTTCTACCGATTTAGACTATGTTCCAGATAGCCCGTCTTCCGTGTGCACTACCCAGAACATCACTCACCTCATCATATATAATATATATCTACAAATATATTTTTTCACTGATATTTTTACAAAATACACTTTTGTCGGTGAAGCGCAACGTACTATATGCGTATATTTTTATTCGATCTCTTTTTTTGAAAATGCGAGCCACGAAACAAATATTCTTCTTTTTTCCAGATGGTCGCTGTGCGGTATTTTTGTTCGCAGCAAAAAAATCAAATTCGCTCTAGCAATCTATTTAATCGCCATGTAGTATAATTTAGTTCTGTTTTTGGAAGTACGCATTCACGCGCGAATTCTTTTCGCGCGCGAGCAAATTTTTCCAGACCGACATTTACCCGTGCATTTCACTACACGTCCACACTGTCACACACAGGTGTACCTGCACGATTAGAAAGCATGAGAAAAATCATAGAACCAGATGACGAGAAACCGCCGTAGTTACCCTAGAAGTGACACCAGCATGCTAACCATTTTGTTTGTCCGTATTTTAATAGATTTTGTTGTACGTTCGAATATGTTGTCCGTCATTAGTATCTTTTTCTTTTTTTTCGATAGAGCTAGTTTTTTCCTTCATAGATAAGGCCAGAAGAATGCTTTCTTAGATCACTGTTCAACCGATCGATCTCTCACCTTGTCATCATAGATCGCTGTCTTTCGAGTAGATATCACTTCGATGCGCTCGTGAATTTTATAACGATATCGTCTCTCTTTAGATGCCGAAGACTGTGAACAGTGCGTAGGCATCCTCGAGGAACTGGAGAATATCGACGATGATTGCGATAGACATGGTATCACGTTCGTAAAGACACAAGTGAGTAGGAAAATGGCTGAACGATTTATTTGTGAATATTTAAAGTATTTTTGGATGTTTGGACGAATCTTTACTCGAGAAATTTTTATCGTTTCTTCGCAGGATTACAAAGTGGCAGAAGATTATGGCGTCACGGATTTCCCGGTGTTAGTCTACTTTGAAAAGCAATTGCCAAATGTGTTCGAAGGTTACCTTTTTACTGAATTAATTACATACTGAAAAATTATGTATCAGAGAAAATTAAACTTAAATCTCGTTTGTAAAGGTGATTTGAAAGTGGAAGAGGAAGTTTTGCAATGGTTGATTACTCAGAAAACGGAGGATCGAATAGAACTGATTACCAGAGTGATGTTAGAAACGTCTGTCGAAGAGACTCAATATCTTGCAGTTTATTTCTGTGAGTCTTAATGTACAATAGTCGAAATTGGATACAAAATAAACGAAATCACAATGTTATGTTGTAGATAAACTAAACTGCCATATATGCGACGAGATTTTGGAAGGATTAGAGAGGATCGACGACGAATGCGACGTGTTCGGTATTCATTTGGTGAAAATTCAGGATCCTCAACTAGCCAAACGATATTCTATTAAAACCTTCCCGGCCTTAGTTTACTTCAGAAATGGCAATCCTCTATTGTTCGAAGGTTTCTAAATTTTTTCACTCCCACTTATACCAATTGAAACCACTTCATTTACCACAATTTAAAAACCAGTTTCATTCTACAATTCAATTTTGTCAGGTGATTTACAAAACGAAGAATCAGTTCTCGAGTGGCTAATCGACGACGATAATCGAGAACTAGCGGACGAGATTGAATCTGTGAATGAGAGGATGCTGGAGAGACTTCTCGACGAATCTCCATTCTTGGCTGTTTTCTTTTGTATGTTATATTTTATTATAAATAAACTGCAGTTTTTTATGCATTTATGAGAAATTCAAATCTGCAAAAATGCATAAAATAAGCAAAAATACATTAAATATCAAAAGCATAGTACTTGTTAGATCAGACAAATCTCTATCTAGTTTCTATTTTATTTTATTTTTTTTTTTTTTTTAATTTGATAATTCTTAACAATTTCACTTAAATCGATTAATTTAATTAGACGACGAAGACTGCCCCGAGTGTGACGAAATTATGGAAGCTTTGGAGAAAATCGACGGTGAAGCAGATTTATTCGGTATAGACTTCGTGAAGGTGCTCAGCACGGAAGCTACAGAGAAATTTTCAATTCTGAACGTTCCGTCGCTCGTTTATTTCCGCAAAAAGACACCGTTGATCTATGACGGCGATCTGACTCAAGAAGACAAGATTCTTCAATGGCTAACGTCTCAAGACGTCTTCGAAATTAAAAATGAAATCGAAGAAGTTAACAAAAAGATGCTAGACAAATTGTTGGACGAGAACGAGTTCCTTGCTGTCTTTTTCTGTAAGTGGAATATCCTCATATTGCAAGAACGTCGTCACTAAATTATAATTGCAACAATTACAAAAACAATTGTACCAATTATTCTAGATGAACACGACAATAAAGAAAGCGAAGAAGTAAGCGAAAAGTTGGAAAACATTGACGGAGAAACGGATAATTTGGACATCACGTTCGTCAAGATGGCTGATCCAAGATACGCAAGGAAGTGGGGTGTCACTAAACTTCCTGCCATCGTTTATTTTCGCAAGAGATTTCCCAGTATCTATCGAGGTAAAACTCTCCTATCTAAAACGAACTGTATGATATCTAACGAATCATCCCATAACCGACGTGTTTTCATTTTTTTCATTTTTTTGAAAAGTTGAAAATTAAAAATTAGAAAATTAGAATAGAGAATTCAACAGGAGAAAAAAAATAAAGAGTGAAGAAAATTTAAAAAGAAAATTTTTAAAGCAAACGATCGCATTACTTGCGAGATGATTTAATGTCTTTTAATTTCCAATCATAGCATCTACAAACGATTTTTCCTCGTACCAGGTAATCTACACAACGAACAAGACGTGTTGGAATGGCTGCGCAAGAACAGGTACCGTCAACCAGAGCTGAACATCTACATGTACATGCTGATTGCCATTACCGTCCTATTCGCCATGTACACCGGCTTCCTGTTATCCTGTTTCCGCTCGGAACCAACGGCTCCCGCGCCGCATCCGAAGCAAGCGTGATAGAAAGAAAGAAAGAAAGAAAAGAGAGAAAGAGAGTAAGAGAGAGAAAGAGAGAGAAAGAAAGAAAGAAAGGAACGAAAGAGTAGAGACTTATTGATCGTTGCTGCGCGAATGTGCGTTTTATTGTTGTTGATCCGACTCGCTTTAACGTAAGATTGAATGGCGGCCGTTCGTCCGGAACGAACGACTTGTACCAAGGCTCGACGATTCTACGGAGGATGACGACGAAACCTGTCTATATACGTATTTTTCTCTTCGCTTAGACGATGAACGAACGATTGAAGAAAAAAAAAAAAAAGAAAATAATAAATTAATAAATCAAATAATCTACTTCTATACATTGCACCGTAATAGGTTCAAGTTGTCCGTGAATTCCGTGAGCGCGTGGTATGCTTGCTTAACGTGGACCAAATTCATCGATTTTCTATAGGAGATTATTAGACCTCTGTCAAATTGAAGAAGGCGCGAACGTGTTGCGAGCGTACACGTAGGCGACGTTTCGCGGGAGTTTACTCGACTTATAATATTCCAAACGATATTACCAATTATGTTAGCGTATAAGCTATATACGTACGTAAGTATATCGTATACGTTTGCCATAATGTCTCTCTGTTCGCGTTCGAATCACCGTGCGGCGACAACGTTGTTTGATATTCTTTTATTGTATTGCTTTGTAACGAGATAGAGATATTACATTGTATCGTATTCCATATTTCACTTTGTATTAACTTTTGCTGACTCGATGATTTTTTTGCTGCGTTTTTAGAGTGAATAAAACTGATCGACACATCTGTACACATCTGTTATTTTGTTGGTGTTCATGGAATGTTGCTAGCCAATTCGATCGACGAGCAATCTGTGGTTTCTTCTTCTTCTTCTTCTTCTTTTTTATTTTTTTTTATTTTTTTTTTTTTTTTTTTTTTTTTTTTTTTTTTTTTTTCGTACGTGTTCTTGTAACGTTAATTGTTACCGTTGATTAGGTATTGACAGTGGTCTTGTTCTTTATCTCGAGTGATCACCTTTGGTCCACGTGTAATTCATTGTTCGCGAAGATGATTGATAATCCATGCGTCTTCTCGATGATGGATCATCAAAGATATCTTCCAAATGGAACGAAAGAAAGATGTACACGAGACAGGTGAATATTGACAATCGATACTTATACTTGTCAAAAGAAGGCAAACAATGTTAACACATGATCATGAGGAATAAAGAGCGAATCCTTGGACCAATTCCAAAGTGCTTAAAATGCCACTTCTGTCTGCAAATTCTAAAAAATATAATAGTGTGAACGATGCATTATATAAAAAAAGAATACGGCGATTCTTTTCCTTTTATTTTATGTTTCATTTTTTTCTTTTTGCGCTTTCGTTTTTTTTTTCTTTTCCATAAAAATCTGAATCTTCTGTGGATCTAAATCTTCAAATTAATTGAAGGAATTCCAGAATATTTCTAGAAATTATTTTTTTTGCATATAACTTTTATTTAAAGATTTCTGTAATTAAGACAGATCTTCGAGAAAAATTGAATTTTTTAAGTATAATAAAGATCGTATCTTATTATACGTTATCCGCTTTAATTATTCAAACAAAATTAATATTAATACGTTACAAAAAGCAAAACGCTATAGAACTACATATAAAGAACTACAGTTTCAAATTTCAAGTTTCCCGCTATTATATAGCTAGGAAGAAATGTGACTAACTTCAAACTCAATATTTCTACAGCTCTGAACTGGTCTACGACTGTGAACTTCTTTACGTAACGGAAGAATGGCGGATGCGTGAGTATCGTTCAAAGTCGTAATGAAATCTAAAAACATCGATAATTAATATCATTCTATTATTTTTAAAGTGTGTTATTAATCATTCTTTTAAAATTCCTTTCTACATTCGTATTGTAGTTTTTGTGATTTTTTTCTCATAAAAATGAATTATTATCGATGCTGACAAGTCGCATCATTGATCAATATGAAACATATTTCAGCATACATATTAATAATAATATTAATTTTTTAATAAAACGTAATTTTTTGTTTTATATTAAATTAAATTTCTGTATGTATTATTTAAAGTAATACATTTTTTGGCGACATAACCTATACATGCAACCTAACCTAATTCTACTCTGTATATCATGTGACTTGTCTAATTTTATATGAAGAAAATATAATTTTTAACTTTAACAAATAATTTATGTAGAAAAAAAGAAACTGAACCTGCAGCAACTAAAAAGCTACCGGCAGTGCCGGAATCAGTCCTTAAGAGAAGGAAAACTCGTGAAGCTGTACGAGCTGCACGTCTTCAAATATCAATCAAGGTATTTTCTTGATACTTTTTTCTTATCAAATCGAAGCTTCAAATTAGAGAAGATGATTAAAATAAACTTTTTAATTTTAGCAACGTGCGAATCGATACCAGAAAAGGAAAACAATCTTCAAAAGAGCTGAAAAATATGTGAGGGAGTACAGAACAAAAGAAAGAGATGAAATTAGGTTGATGAGACAAGCCAAAAACCGTGGCAATTATTACATCCCTGGAGAAGCACGTCTTGCATTTGTTATCCGTATTCGAGGGTAAATTTCTAATTTATTGAAATTATTATTAAAATTTATACATATTATGGAATCATATTTTACTATTTTAGTGTAAATCAAGTTGCTCCTAAGGTACGTAAGGTACTTCAGCTGTTTCGGTTGAAGCAAATCAATAATGGTGTATTTCTGAAGCTGAACAAGGCAACAATTAACATGCTTCGTATTGTTGAACCTTATGTCACATGGGGATATCCCAATTTGAAATCAGTTAGAGAATTGATCTACAAGAGAGGATTTGCAAAGATAAATAGGCAGCGTATACCTATTACCAGCAATTCAATCATTGAAAAGAAACTTGGTTAGTATCATCAAGTTCATTACTGCGAACATTTTTTTCATTTGACAAGTCCATTGGAGTTGTATTTATTATTTTATCTGCTCCTTTCCAGCTTGTCAAAGAGTAATAGAATCATTGAAAAACTTTCTCATATATTTTATGTTTAGGTTTGCGACGGTTCTTACATTTCATAATTATATTAAAATTCTTTTTTTCAATACTTATTATGATAATAATATGAAAATTGTATTGTTACAGGACGTTCTGGTATTATTTGTATAGAAGATTTGATCCACGAAATTTTCACAGTTGGACCAAAATTCAAGTTTGCAAGCAATTTCTTATGGCCATTCAAGGTATATAAATTTTTACTTTCTCGGATATCGTCGACATAGGCATGGTTATAGAAATACTTATTATTCTATCAACCTCCTGCTATGTCGTAAAATAATACGAGTTTCTCTTTGGGACGCACATAATTTTGCGTTTCTTGGTCAAGAACTCAAACATCTCATTAGCTAATTGCTATTTTACGCTACTAATCTTATACTTTTAGCTCAACACGCCTAATGGTGGGTGGCGTAAGAAGACTAACCATTATGTGGAAGGTGGTGATTTTGGTAACCGTGAAGACAAAATCAATGAACTTCTCAGAAGAATGGTTTAAATTTCTATAAATCTTGATAAATAAAAGTTTAAGTAAAATATATATCATGTTGTATTTTACCCATATGCCCGCTTTTTTTACGTATTTAGTAATACTGATATAAATAAAAATCTAAAGTACCCTATTCATAATTTGCGAAAAATATAATTCTGATAATTTTGAGGTTTACGTAAAACTAGCATGTTAATATGTATACAGAATTATATATATATATATATATACTATAAATGTAGTTATCTCCTCTTAAAATCAATAATTTACATCTGCAGAATTGTGCTCATGTGAATTATCAAGAGTATTTTAATGTAAAAACATTGCAAAAGATAAACGCATGCGCTGATCAATTATATTGAACACTACTGCTTTTCGTACATAACGCATTACAATGAGAGAATGGTGTGTCAAAGCAAAGTGTACTGGTTCGAATCTTGTTCCAGAAATTTTTGGATAAAATATTTTATTTTCCAATAGAATATTATTTTTAATGCAGAAAACACTTCTTTAATAAATTTTGGTAAGTATATTACAAAAGGATTGAAAAATCAATAAATGTGAGAACTAAGTAATAAATATTCTCACATGTATGTATTATATGCCTAACCTTATTTTACTATTAATAAAAAATAAATTTCCATAGCGGTATAATTAATATTTAATGCGAAACTAACAAATTTGTTCTACATCTTCCTAATATTTTTTTGTGAGTTTTTGGTCTAGATTATAGAAAGTATGTTTCATTGCCGTACGTTCTATGTTCGAATCCTACTTATTTTAATTTTATATTAATAAATTATAGGAATATTTTTTATATTATAAAATGTTCTAAAAAAATAATAAAAAATATATTGAATTGTAAATGTAAAGTTTTAGAATAATATAAAAAAAATTTATTAATCTAACGTTCTCTTGATCCTATAATATATAATTTAAAATTATATATTCTTAATATTTACTCAGATTATATTAATAATGAACAAAAAGATTATAAATTCTGATATTTCAACTGATAATACAAATTCACCTATTATTACGTTAAATTATTTATTATCTGTTTCAAAAAAATTTACTGTTCCTCCTATGTGTATTACAAAATATTTATTTTTTAGTCATTCTATGGAAAAAACTAAGTTAAGATCATTAGTATAATTTAGGATGAAATAATTATTAATTTCAATTTACGATTTTTAATGTTCTGTTGCAGATAGAAACATGAACTTTAGAATTTATAAAAGAAGAACATAAAAGACTTGAGATTCCTACATCCATCGAAAATTCAAATTCGCATATTGTGATAAGATAAATTACAGTTGTAAAAATTAGCAAAAATAATACAGCTAATGAAAGTCTAAAAAATATAACAAAAGTGCCTAAAGTTAATACAAATAAAGAAAAGTTAGCATCAAACATAAATCACTCAAAACAAATGCAGAATCTTTATGATAATACAAAGAAAAAAAAAGGTAGCATAAAAGTAAATAACTCAAAAAATATTTCAAAAAATCAGGAAAGATCACAAAAAATAAATTGTATTGCTACAAATTTAAAAAATAATCAGACTACCTCAGCTGATGTACCAAAGTCTAAAAAAACAGATATAAGATCTGAACAAAGTACTAGTAAAAGATACTTAAATAAAAGTATAGAAAAAGATAAAGAAGCAGAAGCTAAATATGCAATTGATGGAAATTTACTTGACAAATCTAAAAATATTCATAAGCAAACTAGATTTGATATCACACCATATAAAAAAGGAATGCCAGACAAAAGAAGAATGAGTACTAATAAAGAATTGAAAGAAGCAATAATTTGTAACATTCCTTTATCAGTTAAAACTGAAACAAATGATATTGTTAATGAAACAAAACATATAAACCAAGAGCTTGAAAATAAAGATGATAAAAAAAATATGGTTACACTTGAGTCATGCAATTCTACTTCTATCACATTAGCTGTAACAAAAAATTCATTGCCTTTGAATGTCAATAACATTTCTGAAAATCATTCTAATATTAAAAGTAAGAATTGGCAACATTATAAAAATAAAATAAATAATGAAAATTTGAAATTGAAAAATTTAATAAAAATGGAACTAAATGATGAGAGTGGTAATGAAGTACAAATGGATACAATAAATACTTCTCTATTTGAATGTGAAATATCTTTAAAATTAAAAAACTCTGAAAATATAAACGTTAAAAATACAAATGCTAATGAAGATAGAATTAATTCTTCATATGTAACATCAAATACTTTGTTGGATCAACAAAATTTAAATACAGATTCAATGAATCAAAGTGATAACAACCAAGTTTTAATGAATATACCAGTAAAAAGAAAGAGAGGAAGACCTAGAAAAACTATGCTTACAGTTCAAGAAACTTCAGATATTTCAAATAAGAAATTAGAAGAAAATTTAGAAACTTTACAAAACATAAATGATATTTCTATTGGAGAAACAGTTCTTCATAATAAGAGACACAGTGAACAATCATATAATTTTAGCAATAATGATGGCATAAGTGATAATAGTAGTACTGAAGATAACATTCCAAATTCAATTATTGTTAGAACAAGAGGTAGACCACCAGGTACATCTGTAGGCAAAGGAAGAGGAAGAGGAAGAGGGAGGGGTAGAGGAAGAGGGAGGGGTAGAGGTGGAGGATCATCTTATTCTGCATTAGATACTGAATATATACCAAAATCAAAGGGACCAATAAAGAAAGAAGATTCGAATGAAAGTAATATTGTTGCATCAGAAGTAAGTAAAATATTAGAGCTGTATATCGTCCTTTTTAACATAAATTTATCTCTAATTACATAAATATATATTTTTTATTTTAATTCAGGTAAATTTAGTAACTTGTGCCAAATGTGAAGAAGATATATTAGAAAACAAATGGGATTCGCACAATTTGCTTAAACATAATAATATGAGTTGGAAGAAGGGTGATGAACCTATAGTAAATATAAGATTGATACAAATAAATTCGTAAATTTATTATCCTCTTTATTAACAATTATAATAATTTATAGGACTTTGAAAAGAATATTAAATTATGGAGAAAAGTATTGATGTCTGCTATTAAAAAGAAAAGGGGTCAATTATCTTGCGAAAAGTGCGGAATTGTAAAACGAAGTGCAAATGGTTTCATATCTCATATGCAATTCTGTGGAAAATCAGAAGAAGTATGTAATTCTTAAATTACTTCAAAAATTCTAAAAAGTGATATAATATAAATATATATGTAATAATAACTTTTTGTTAACTAGGAAAAGCAAGCTTTGATGGTAACTTGTTCTATCTGTAGTGCTGTTATGATGCCATCTTCAATGGAAATACATAAAAGAGCTCATAGGCAATCAGAACGAAGTAAAATAGCCGAATTACAATTACGTACTACTGAAAGAGTAAAACGTAAAGCTGCAGAAAAGTAAGAATTAGAAATTCGAAATTAATAATAATTAAATTAAATAAAAGATTCTAATAATATTGTATTCTAATTACAGAGCAGTTTCAAAAATTTTTGAATTTACTGAACTTGTCAAAGATAGTAATCCACCTCATGAGAAAAAAATGAAACTTGACTCTTATTTGATGGTATTATTTATTTTTTTTTATACAAAATACATCTTTTTATACAAAAAAAAAAATGTTAGTAAATGAATAACTATAAAAAACTAATATTACAGAAAAATTTAATCAAAATGCCTGGTTATAAAAACCCAATACCCTCTGTATGGATAGGTATATGGAAAAAAGAAGTGTCTTCAATGGGAACAATAAATTGTTGTCGAATAGGTTGTACTTATTCATGTTCTTCTGTTGAAGATATGTGTAAACATTTTCCTAATTGTAATTTTACTCCTCAAGAGGTATATGTTACAATAATACTAATTTTATTTTTATAACATATCTGGAAACTCAACATATTCAATTTTATTACAGTGTTATATGTGTAAAATATGTAAATTTTTAAATACCTCTGACGAAGATACAAAAAAGCATATAATAGAAAATCATGCAACAGTAGATGAAATCGATAGATCATCAGATTTTGAAGAAGAATATTATAGTTCAGATGAAAGTAAGTATAAATTTTGTTATAAAAGTTAAATCGTTAAGTTTCATACATATTCTTGTTTGTAGAAATATCTTATACAATGAAATTTCTAGACAAAAAACAATTTCGTAAAATTAAATGGACAGAACCATATCTACCTGGTGTGCAATGGTCTATGGAATTGTAAATATCTATATTTTTTAAAATTAAAATACTTCTTGAATATCTTTAATTAATAATTTTTATAATTTTCTTTAACAGTGAAGAAAAAAATTACGAATTTTGCTTATTTAATGACTATTCTCCAAATCAATTCACTTTATTAAACAATGATGATACTCTTAAATATTTGCCAGAACTAGAAATTTCCATGCGAACAAAAAAAGAAAATGTATGTGAAACACTACCTAATACAGAAATTACATGGAAGCAGTGGAAACGATTTGAAGGTGGTTTAGATGAAGGTAATTACTTCATTAATTAATTGACTATGATTATTTCATAATGTTCAATATTTAAAATAACTTTTCAGGTACTTTGACTTTTTTTACTGGTGGTCCAGTATGGGCATTAGCTTGGTTACCTATTCCATCACCAATGTTTTCTAAAGAACCTTACCAATATATCGCAATTAGTACTCATCCGACAATGAAAAGTGAATACACTGTAGGAAAATCACACTCTGAACATAATATGATACAAGTTTGGAATGTTGGACCTTTGAATCATGAGTTAGTAAGAAAGAGTAGAATATGATAGTAGAATATCAAATTTCTCCAAAATAATTTTTTTTTTTTATTTAGGAATAATAGTAAAATAGAGTTTCCCACTTTATCATATGCTGTTGCACACAATAGTGGTACTATATGGTGTCTAGAATGGTGTCCTTCTGGATGCTATCAAGATGAAAGTCTGAATAATTATAAGAATGAAAACGAAATGTCTAGTAATCTTAAGCGAATGGGTATGCTTGCGGCAGCTTGCTCAGACGGAAATGTAAATATTTATTCATTACCTTTTCCGGAGGAACTTGAATTTAAAAAGACCACAACCAATGAGTAAGTAACAAAATTCAGATATATAAATTTTTGGGCGTGTATCTTGTTATTATTAATATTTATTATTGTAGATGGCCTATTTATTCTACTGATCCAATAATGACATTAGTTGTAAATATTTCAATGTATGATAACAAAAATCAAAATTGGCAGTGCACCAAGCTATCATGGACGAAGGAACACGGCCATAAGTATATTTTAATATATTCTTAATTTTATAATAATTTAATTTTTTAATTTCCTAATTTTATAATAATAAAATTATATAATTTTTCTTATTTTTACAGTACAATCGCTGCTGGATTTTCAAATGGTTATATAGCTTTATGGGATTTAACATACGAATCTCCATTATCAGTGCAAAAGAGACGAAACACATATTTTATAAATGCATTTCAGCATTTTTATGCTCATGGTAATGCTGTGAGTAGTAAGTACATAAATTTATTTATTCCTTAACAAAGTAATATTAAATAAAAAAATAATCTCAACAAATTTAACATTTTTGTAGTGCTAGTATTAATTCCATATAATGGGAAAAGATTTCTAGCTTCTGGCAGTCTAGATAGGTCATACAAATTTTGGAATTTAGAAGACACGAGTATTTGTCAAACTGTAATGCAGAAATCTGTTATAACAAATGGTGCATGGATGACACATTGGCCATGTACTATCATTACTTTTGATAATGCTTTGGGGTAAGAACTAATATTTAAAAAAATTCTTTCAATTGTGCAATCTATTTTTTAATACTATATTATTCTACTATAGGTACAAGCATACTAATACTTATTTAATTCCATTAAGAGAACATGAATTCAAATACTATCCTATCATGGGGACAAATTCTGCCACATATGTAAGTAATGTAAGCAACATATCTTAGTATTTTTAAAATGTAACTTTTTTTATTTACTTGTAGGCTGTAGCTATTTCTGATTATGCAAATAGCATCGCACACGGCACAGTAGCTGGAGAAGTACAAACAATCTTTGCACATGAACTTATACATGGTAGAGATATTGAGAAAGCTTTAATGAAGAAAAAAAAGGTACTTTTTTTATGTTTAATATGCTTAAATTATCGATGGTTTAAATCATTTCTTACAAAGTTAAATATGAATGATTTTCCTAGTTGAGTTCATTTGTTAAAATAGTGGACTTCTTAGAAAAAGAAGAAGATGACAAAAATGATAAAATGCATAAAAAGAATTCTAAAGATTATTGTTACATGCCAGAAACTTATAACGAGTGCCAGAATCGATTTGGTATTATCTTTTGCGATAATTTAAAAGTAAGTAGTTTTACTGTACTATTTCTTTCAGTATTTTTAAATTAATATTCTATATTCTGTTATGCTTAAAGGGTGTTGAATGCCATGAACAAAAACAACTGTATGCAGAAAAAGTATCAGAAATTCCAATCGAGGAATATCCATTTATGTCTGTAAACAGAGTACGTATGTGTGAATGTTTCTATTCATTTTGATATTAAAATTTTATATGAAATATAAAATATATAATAAATTCTAGATATCTTGGAATCCGAATCCATGGAGTTACCTATGGATGGTTGTTGGTTATCAAAATGGTTTGGTGAGATTATTAAACTTCAGATATATGTCTATGTCACATGAATTAAAAATATTATTGTCTCAACATGTAAAATCTATGCTTAATAAAGCAAAGATTACAACAAAAGGATGTTGTTAACACAAAAAGGAAAATGATCATGATCTATAATATCTATACTATACTAAAATCAAGTATTACGAAAGTAATGGTGATTGCTTCTTATTAATATATAGCAAGTTATTTTTTATAATTTTATAATATTAAACTTAGTATAATATTAAACTGACTACATAAGAATGGAACAAGGCCAATGATTGGACAAAATTTACTGTTATATATTTAAATTTTATTAAATAGATTTAGACTATTTAATGTTAATAAGTTTTGTATAAATAAGTTTTGTAATTTTGAATATTTAAAGTATGACATGTTTAATATCAAATTATGTTAATAAACAAGATTTTTTATTGTTAATAAAAGCAACCCCAATTTGTATTATGCTTTTACATCTATGACGTAACGTAACGTAAATTCGCCTTAAATTTATCATATTAGCGAAGGAAATGAGACAAATATATATTAATATTAATATATTAATATCGAGAAATATTTGAAAAACATGTAAAAATAATTTAAATGATTTATCACATACCAAATTGCAGCAAAATTCGAGAAAATATCATTGTAATTGAAACATTCACTTGCCTCCATTGTTTCGACTTTTCGAAATTCGATTATCGAATTATCGATTGTTGTATCTGATCTATCCATAAAGATTTAAATGCTTTAAAATAATGTGAAAAACAGTGCAATAAACTATTGTATAAATTATTATATTACATATTTAAAATTTTCATTAAATACTTGGTCGAGTTTCGAAATAAGTTCTACTTTATTTCATGATATTAATCACATGATTTTGATGTGTATAGTAATACATACGTGTGCACATTGGTTAGTAAGGAAGTGGGGTTAAAGGACCAGTATAGAACATGGTGGGAATCATACATGTATACATACAAACAAATGACAGAAGACATCGTGGCCAAAGCTAAAAAATAGTGGAGGGAAATGCTACATTTCCTAGCGAATCGTGAAGCAGTAAATAATTCAACATTCTTCCTTTAATATTTGAAACGAAAGCAGTATCGCTGCTCAGTTTATCTTGCTGGCGGAAGTTCCATAATATCAAATAGATACAAATTCGTATCCTAAAAAAAACATAATTTACTCGAAAATTTTTTTCGTTTCGTTTTAAACATTTAGTGGCAAGTAAGTGAGGAATATTTTAATTTCTTTTTATCTTTTAAAAAAAAGTTAATCTAATGAGAGAACATGAGACATATTTAATTCATTCCGAGTGTTCACATTAAGAGCACGCGTTGATGATAGTTGTAAATTTACTTCTATATTGTACATAGAAGAAAGTTTTTATAGAATCATTATTATACGGTAAAATTATTTTAGAAATGGCTATCAATCCAATGAAGTGGAAAACCAGAAATATACTGTACACTAGTTTGACACTTTTAATTTTCTACGTACTTTTTGTGTATAAAAAGAAACATCATATATTGTTCGAAGAAATAATAAAAGATTCAAATCCTGTACATGTTTGGGAATACGTAGCTGATTTTAGTAATATGAAGACGTTAAATCCGACAATGTATGTAAAACATTATACGTCGCTGTTTTCCATTTTTTCTTTTTTTTCTTTTTTTTTCTTTTCGTCTCAAATTTTTATTAACGTTTTTGCAGAGAAGATTTTAATATTATTGCGGAAAGTGGTAATTACGATCATTGGAAATATTCAGTTGAGTATACTGAACATTTGAGTCACATACCAATTATACGAAATACAGCGCATGGACATTACGCCATACGTGAAGATAATAATGGTTATTTGATTACTTCGAAACATGAAACATGTTTCTTTGCCAAACTTGGATGCTGTAAGTAAATATATTGGAGGGAAGGAAAATTTCTTATGAAATGAGAAAACAGTATCAACGAAATACATATAGACTTTTAAATTCTGAATTTCATTTCAGTGGAATCGATCTCGCAATTCAGATTCGATCGAGATGGAGCAACAGATACGAAATGTATCGAAACCGTACAATATGAATGTCCAATCGCATTTTCATTATTGTGTTATAAAGAAGTTATGTATCAACGAACAGAGATTATGGAAAGATTGAAATTGAAATTCTCAAAAACTAAAATCCCTTAAAAATGTTATTAAAATACGTATTATTCATGTTACTTCTTTTTAAATTTATCATCTATTTATGTAACGTTTTATACGAAAATATAATTTTTATATAAAACTTTTTGAATAATATTTTATATACAGCGCTATTTGTCTATATTTAGTATGACCAACATTAAAATGTAAAATCTCCGATAATAAAGTGACAAAAAAGAAGATAGAGGGAGAGAGCAACAATTTATCGAAAACGTATACATGAGAGAATCTGTGAAAAGGAAACAGAAATTGAGAAGTCTTTGTATTTTTATTTGTATTTATTGAAATATATCTCACTCATAGCATTTAGTCAATAAATTTATAATACAGCGTGAAACATGTCTAATAAATTTGAGGCGTAAGTGAAACTAGTGTTCTTATTTCGTCGTGCCTTTTTCTATGGGTTAGATAGAGGTTAGATTTTGTATGTTTTAAATAGAAATCAAAACTCATAGATATATTGTTTTGTTGGATACTTAACACGTGCTCTTTTTTATCTGTTTAACGCGTTCATTATTAGTCTACGCGAAACATTCTCTAACTAGTTCCAAATAACAAAACACATGATATGTCATTTGTCACAACCTAAATCTTCCTATATTCATTTTTGATTGTTACTTTTATTTCTTGTTTTTGGTACTTCAAACAATTATCAAACGACAATTAAATTCATTTTTTTGTATGCAAGTGTATAAAAACAATGTTCATATGTTATTATTTAGAAATAAATTATATGTTATTAAGAAGTAAATAAAGTTTATAACATATTGTTTTTTGAATAAAAGTTATATAAAAATGATTTACTAAGAATATTTGCTATTTCAAGAAACTCACGCTGTAAATTATAGTAGTACTTGCAGATTAAAGGCTAATGAAGATAATGCAGATAATGAAACACAATCAAAAGATAATAAAAAAACTGAGAAAGATTCATTAGTAAGTAGAAAATGTGACACTTTCTTTAATTTTAATCACATATTCTAATTAAATAGCATATATTTATTATAGCCTCCCATAGAAATTAATCCAAATGAGCATAAATTACAGTATGCATATGCATTATGGTATAGTCGACGCAATCCTGGTAAACAATCAAGTATACAAAGTTACGACCAAAATTTAAAATTGGTTGGTAGGTTTGCAAGTGTGGAACAGTTTTGGAGTCTTTACAGTCATTTAGTCCGGCCATCAGAATTAACAACATCTACAGATTTTCATCTTTTCAAAGTTGGCATAAAACCAATGTGGGAAGTATGTGTATCTGTGCAAAATAATATTTATTTTTCATGAATAGATTTGTTTTAATAAATCATTTTTTTCTCAGGATGAGGCAAATCAAAAAGGTGGTAAATGGATAGTACGCTTAAGAAAAGGTTTAGTTTCTAGATGTTGGGAAAATCTTATATTAGCTATGTTAGGAGAACAATTTATGGTTGGAGAAGAGATATGTGGAGCTGTTGTATCTATAAGATTTCAGGTATGATTTAACTGAAAGTAGTGACCTACGTATTGCAAATCATTAGATATTGTTAATGTTAACAGGAAGATATAATATGTGTATGGAATAAAACTGCATCTGATTATGCAACAACATCACGTATAAGAGATACATTAAGGAGGGTCCTACATCTTCCAGCAAGTGCCTCAATGGAATACAAAACTCATAATGAAAGTCTGAAGAATGTTCATCGACTCTAAATTTCGTGATACTAAGTCAAAGATTGGAATTCTTTGTGGACTTTCAGGTAAATTACAAATTTATTACAAATTTTAATTATTACAAAAAATATCACCATACAGAAAATATATGCTTATAAAACAATACTCCTTTTGCATCTCTATATTTAGCCAATTGATACTTGTGAGGAGATAATATTTATGCGGAAAATATTTTACAACTACAGAATTTAATTGGCCATTTTATTGGATAACAAATGTGATTCACAAGTATCCCATTGTAACTTATGTAAATAATAAATACATGTTGATAATAAAAAATTATCTTATTTCCGAAATACACATGTGAAACTTTTATAATTATCTTTTTTACTATACAATCGGGTTATGTTATAATTATATTGTAATTATAACAATAAACAATCATTCTATATGTCAAATACTTTTATTTAAGAGTACTTAAAATTTGAAGCCCATTTTACAAAGGATATTTATACATTTTTACACGAGATCGTGTTTCTTTAGAATATATGCATAATTATTAATGTATTTTGTATACATAATGCTTTTATATACAAAGCATTAATTCCGATATGAACATTAATGTATTTTTATATTTTAACGTGAAATATATAAAAAGACTGTAATTTTGCTAAAATTTTAATATATGTACAAATCTTTTTTATGCATACATAAGGCAATGAAGCACAAATTTGAATAAGAATATATTCATCACACACTTAAAAGAGTAAAAGATTTTATATATGTTAATAAATATTTATATTAGCCACAATATAGTGTGACAGTTTATTGTATACAGACTAGTGTTAGGTATATCCAGTGACAAAAAATGAGGCCCAATGTTAAAAAAACCTAACATTAATTGTGCTTTTATTTCACGATTTTAATCATGATAAGTTTGTTTTATATGTATAAAGACAAAAGTTACAACCTTAAAATAATAATTGTGACCATACCTGTAATAAATAAAAAATTGTTACTTACGTTTTTCATCCTATATAAGTTATGAATACTTACCCAATACAAATGAAAATATTAATTTAAAATTTACAGACAAATGAAGATAATCAGGCACTCTATTATTTTGTTCTCCTTCTGTAGGCAAAAGCAATCCAATTATGCAAATTATTCCAGCAAATAATGCTATATAATTTGTCCCTCCTACAAATTATTAGAATATTTATTAAAATAACTTATTTTTTCATTTAAAATAATTAATTTTTTATTTTAAGTATTTATTTTTGATTATTAAGAGTAAGACATGAATTTGCATTTAAAAAAATTATTCAATTGAAATAGATATGTTAAAAAAATTTTTATCACACATAATATTGGATTGAATGGCATTAAAAATATTATATATGATTTCATCTAAGTAACTAAATATTAAATTAGTAAATTACATTAGTAAAAATAATTTTAAATACTAACTTATTAATCTTTATCCATAGATTATTTCATATCTGAAGATAAATACATTGTGTTCTTATTTTGAATGTTTCCACGAAATAAATCATGTTTTGATTTGGTGGTTTCAGTGTATATTCTGCTTAATAATGCTTTTGCCATTCAAACATAAAACAGTGATGTATGTTATTTATATAATTGTTATAAATATTTTGGACTTACTGTCAATTGCTTTATTTTGAGTTATGAGAGCATAAGATTGTTGTTGTCTAGTTTCATTTATTGGAAGTTGTTGAAACATCTCAGGATCTGGTGTAGATCTTCCAACTGTTTCTGTACCAGGAAGTAATTTAGCTTCAACATCTCTTTGTCCTATGGTCTATTAATTTTTAGAATGTTAAATGTGAAAAATTCTACTATTTTGTTAATGAAATGAAATATTTAGTTTTACATTAAGATATAATACACCCATAAGTACCTGTTTAGTTGGATGTTCTTGCATTTGTATCCTAAATTTGTCGACAACATTGCAATTACTAAATACAACAGCTGTATGTCTGACAACAATGTCAATACAATATCGTGATTTTAATGTCCCTTCTGGCTCAACAACTTTATATTTATTTGGCGCAGTGCATAGTACTGTAGTTATAATGAAAGTTATAATAATAGCTTTTATAGTAACTTATAATAATAATACACACCTTTAAATCTTATTGGAAAATCATATGGGTTATGCAATGTTAAAACTCGTTTGTGAGTAGACTGATCGTCCAAAAAGAAAGTGATACTGTGAGGAAATACAAATACTGGTAATTTCCGTGAAGTTGTTGCTAGTTGGGACTGCATTATATTGGTCTAATTTTATGTGGTCCATGCACCTACAATATTATGCTATTACATATATGTCTAAATTTATTGTCTGAATTTATGTTGCAATATATACATATGTAAAACATTTTAAATATTTACTTTATATATTTTCAATTAATTTTGTAGAAACTTTCTGTAAGTGTATTGGATTTGTTATATTTCAAAATTAAAACATTTATAGTAGACAAATAACATGGTTATATGGTTAATATGACTTACCTAAAAAAAGAAGTTAAGTACTCTGTGGCTTAACGAAATTACATTAAAAATTATATACTAACAAATATTAGACGTAACAATTTCTCAAAATGAATAAAAATATGAACAAATATTAGAACGTTCTTAAACAAACTGTTAACTAATCCAATTCTGTGCTTTGTTTAAAAAGAATGTCTAATTATTCTAATTAACGACTTCAATGAGTTGCAATAAACGCTTAATTAGTTGTATAATGATTTCATTAAAGTTTAATATTTACAAGCGTGTAGCGTTACAGGTCCATTTGATCGAATACTGCACTGTTGATCTTCCTAGTGAAACAGTTGTTCATGGTTTTCATCATACCACCATTTTTCGTTTACCAACACTTACTATTGTGTACGTGAACAAGTTGATTGTGTGATTTTCTCGTTTTTCCCTAGCTTATCATTATAAATCAGCTGATTAATTTCATATCTTTTTTATGAAAAGATTTCAATGGTATAAAAAAATCACATTATCAGCGATACGTTATCTCTATTTAAATCAATCGATGATTTAGCAATAAAAGAATTTAAATAAATTTCAATGCGTAAAATGGTTCTAGATATTTTAAATATCGTTTATAAAATTCCCTAACTTAACTGAAAATGGAAATAATAAAAATGATATGTACTACAATTTTCGTTTTATTTAAAATGAAAGATTAGACCTGAAGATAGATTTCAGATTTTAATCAAAATTTATCTAAAAACAATAAATTGCATATACATGTATTTACGTATATTTATACGAAAATCAGATATAAATCAATTGTGTAGTAATGTAGTGTAGGGGAAAAGTATGTTAAGATATTTTGTTGGCCACCATACGTAAAATATTAACAATACTCGCACGAATTCAACAATATGGCACCGGGTGCTGGGGCTTATAAGTAATTACATGATTACGTTAATCGAATATTGTTAATATTACCATATTAATATAATAACGTTGTGCGTTAATATAAAATGATTAGAATACTACGTACATTTTAATAAATAGTAATAATATACTGAGTAAGAAAAATAATTGCATAGCGATTCTAACCTTACTTCGGAATTTTCGGTTCTTAAGTTTCATCTGGATTTTTATTTTTTAATATAACGGTAAAAATTTTTGCATAAACATATTTAGTCATTATATTAATATGAATTACTTTTAGATTTCATTAGTACATTCTTAAAGATTTGTATTTTTTAATTGTATTATTTAATTATAAGACTGTGAATCAAAAACTTTTATTATATTTTTATGTAATATTTATAATAAATATCAATTTTATTTGTTTCTATATTTTTAGAAATATATAAAGGAAGAAACCATGGTTAATGTTAATCCCAGAGTATTCTTTGATATAGAAGTGGGCGGACTCCCAATGGGTCGCATAGTGTTTGAACTATTTGCAGACATTTGTCCAATAACATGTGAAAATTTTCGTGCACTTTGTACTGGAGAAAAAGGACTTGGAAAAACAACTAGCAAACAATTGCACTATAAAGGAATTGTTTTTCATAGAGTAGTTAAGGATTTTATGATTCAAGGTGGTGATTTTTCAGTAGGTAATGGAACTGGAGGAGAGTCAATTTATGGTGGAACATTTGCAGGTATATTTACAAATACATTTTACCTATTATAATTAAGAATGAGTATTATTTACAGTAATATTTTTCAGATGAAAATTTTATTATAAAACATAATAAACCATTTTTATTATCTATGGCAAATCGTGGTAGAGATACAAATGGTTCACAATTTTTTATGTGAGTATTTATAAAAAAAGAAATACACAAACTTTAATAATATAATATAATATAAAAATATATTTTAAATAGAACGAAACAATCGATTAGGTGTATAAACAAAGAAAAGTGCAGGATGGTGTAATATATGTACACTTTATATATAGCCTTTAAAAGTCATCAGATATTAATCCATTATATTATTTTACTAAATATTTATTTTGCATGTATTATTAACAAACATGATCAGCTTGTTGAAAGTTAATATTTATACTTGCAAACAGAATTTTTTTTTGTGTGTATAAATTTTATTTTTTAATATTTCTACTGGCTCAAAATTATGTTTCTCTGCAGACAGATGTATACTTTGTCAACCTCAAAGGTAAAGGTAATAGGAATTTAATATACATTTATTTTCGTGTCAACATTTTTCCATGTTAATATATATTTAAATATGTTCCAAATAAGTAACAGGTGATATAATTAAATAGAAGGATAATTGGGTTTGTTGATTTTAGCAATAAATTTGATTATCCTTTATTAACTCTTGATGTTAATCATGTCATTGTAAAGTTGTTCAGTATTTAATAAATTATATGAAACACTTAATTTTTCCCGTGAATACTGAAAAGTGTAGGAGTAAAAATATCTTTGAAGGAATGAATAACTTAGCTATATTTCTGTGTAGTCGTGAGGGAAGGGTCTACAAACCACTGCTACAACACAATGACCAATGAAAGCTGGCTCTTTCTGTTCATCTCTCATCCCCTTAATCATATTTTGTTGTTGTAGTACAACACAACCAGCGCCTCACCTCGACAAGTAAGTAGCAGTAAATAACATTTCGATTATTGAAATGATACTTGAACAGTACTTGTCATATTGAAATGTTAAATTTTTAGTGTCCATGTGGTTTTTGGAGAAGTAGTGTCTGGCCAGGAAATTGTAACACATATTGAGGGACTTCCAGTAGACCGTATGTCTCGACCCTTACAAGATGCGAAGGTTGTAAATTGTGGAGAACTTGTATTGAAAGTTAAAAGTAAAAGTATGTTTCGGGTTATTACAAACTGCAAAGTTAATATAATTATTGATTGTAATTAAAGTTAATTATACTTATTTATAGCAAAGAAACGTGAAACGAAGGACAGCAGTTCGTCTGAATCTGATTCTGATTCATATGCAGAGAAACCTAAGAAGAAGAAAAAGGCCAAGAAAAAGTATAGTGTATTCATGTTTTGTAACACACAAAATAGTTTTAAAAATACGGAATAAAATATTTACTTATGTTACAGCAAAAAAAGAACAAAATCAGAAGATGGTGAAATTCACGATTCAAATGAAGATGATCTTGGAAAACCTCATCCTTTAGTTTCAGTTACAAAAATTGATCCTGATGAAATACCTGAAGTACCAGCAAATAAATTTTTATATAGAGCAGGACCTACTAATAATGCAAATCAAAAAGAATTTAGGCAACACTATGGAAGGGATCGGGTACGATCACATAGAAAAACTGGTCGCATATTTAAAGGAAGAGGAATATTTGTAAGTATTTGTATGAAAATAAATAATGGTATGTATAAATTTTGTAAATGAATTTCAAAATTTTTGTAAATGAATTGTTTCATTGTTAAAATGTTCTTGAAACATCCAACCTAATGGAAGGTAAATAAGAATAAATAAGAATAAATAATATTTTCAGCGATATCATACACCTTCACGTAGTCGTTCGAGAAGTGTCACACCACCTCATTGGAAACAAGCTCAAAATCGTACTATTAAGTTACATGAATTTCAGGTATAGTTTAATTACTTATATAATTAATTATATATTCTAATTTGTATATTCTAATTTACATTACAGAAATTAGAGAAAGAACGATTAAAGAAAGAAGAGGAATTAAAGAAACGTGAAGCCGATAGAATTAAAAAATTTACCGAAAATCCTGATGAAGATAATCAGGTAGTGGACAAATTTGACATTGAAGCACACATAACTGAAGAATTAGAAAATAAAGAAAACGATCAATCAGATGATAAAAAGAGTGTCAATAAAAATGTGGATCAAGATCAGGATAACTTAAATACTAGTACAGATGTTAATGACGCCATTACAAAAGATAAAGTAGATGGAAAACATAAAAATGAAAAAATAATTAAACGTGATTTACATCGATCGTATGGTGATAGATCTTCACGGCGAGAATCGCGTGATAGAAGTAAAAGGCGTGGAAGTGGTCGATCTAGATCACGAGATCGGCGAAGATCTCGAGACAGAGATTATGATCGTAGAAATAGCCGTGATAGGAGAAATAGAAGAAATTATTATCCTCGAAGACGAGAGTCATATAGGATCAACAGGCCTGGCAGAGACAATTATAGATATAACGATAGACGCAATGATTACAGAAGAACGAATAATTCTAACTCTAACTACGATGCGGATATAAATTCATCTCGCTATGATAAAAATCGAAGAAAAAGTGATAATAATTCAGACTCTAATAATCAACCAAAATTTAAACGCCGCTCACGTTCAACTAGTTCTAGTAGTCAGCACTCCAAAGACTAAATGCAATATTTCTTTACCATCATTTCTGCATAATACAAAAGAAAGTATAATTTATGAAGTAAAGTACAATTATGTTCTCAAATTTTTTGTTAGAATTTGTTTCTTCATAGCATAAAAATTTATGTAATAGGAAAGTTCAAGTTTATAATAGTTGAATAAAATATGATGTTCAAACATAAACTTCAATTTTTTGGTACTTAGAATTTGGTAATTAGAATTGTCTTTTATATGATAATAATAATTTTGATATTTCTACAAAATATAACACGTTGAACTCTATAATTGTTTGTTCAGTTCTATAAACAAACATGAAGCTGAAATATTTAACATTAAATACATCTAACTCTCTATATATATCATCATACTGTAAATTAAAAATACTTTTATAGTTAGTGATTAATACATATTTATAAGTTGCGTTCAAGAAAGAACGTTTTTTACAGATTCCGTATATCTTTTTCGTATGCAAACTTAGTGAAAACATTCAAATATATAAATGGGATTATATTTTATTGTGTAAGGCTGTTCATAGAGAGTTATGAAAGTTTAGATAAAATGATGAAAATAATTGTAATTTTCATATAATTTAAAAAAAAACATATTAATATGTTGTATAATCATTATTCAAAATAAAGAAGAGGTATTATATTCTACGTTTATAAAATTATTTTTAAATACCAACGGAAATTATACGCGAAACAAAAGCCTCTAACCTGTAATATTTGATATCCTCAAAAGTTTCCAAACTATATTTTTATATTGGTAGTATTAATGCTCTGAAGATAGCTTTCCATATAAGTTCGCTTTGATTGGCTTTTAAATCTTGTTTACGTTAAGATTTGTGAATTCAAAAGTGATGTAATTGACAGCGAATAATTATTATATATCAGTGAATTTTTCATAAACTTATTAAAATGGTACGATATATTGCGCTCAAAGGCCTGTACGATTTGGAAAAGACCATCGGAAGTGGAGGATTCGCTAAAGTAAAACTTGCCACACATATTGCAACCGGCGAAAAAGTTGCTATCAAAATAATGGACAAAATATCATTGGGTGTAAATGATTTTTATAATTTTATAAATCTTACGATTTTATTATTTTATCTTATAAATCTATGATAATAAAGCATAATAAAATCGTAAATAAATTTTTGAATTCCTAGGACGATTTACCAAGAGTTAAGCTAGAAGTCCAAGCATTAAAAACTTTATTACATCAACATATTTGTCGATTGTATCAAGTAATAGAAACAGATAGTCATTATTTTATGGTAATAGAATACTGTTCAGGAGGAGAACTATTCGATCATATTGGTAGTATTATATATTACTTTAACTTTTGAGTTTTTTATTATCTTGTTTTATCACCTAAATTTAGTAGGAATAACGAAAATTGTGATTTTATTTATATTTATAGTTGAAAAAAATAGGCTTTCCGAAACTGAATCGCGGAAATTTTTTCGCCAAATTGTGTCTGCAGTGGCATATTTGCATAGTTTAGGATATGCTCACCGTGACTTAAAACCAGTAAGTTATCTTTTATTTTATGATTCAGTATTTGTATAAATAGCAAATAATAATTATTCGGTATACAGGAAAATGTCCTGTTGGACAGAGAAGAGAACTTAAAGCTCATAGATTTTGGATTATGTGCAAAACCAAAAAATGGGATAGATTCTCATTTACAAACATCCTGTGGTTCTCCAACATATGCAGCTCCAGAGCTTATATTAGGAAAGAAATATTTAGGTAATACTTTAATATTTAATATGTTTAATATATTCCTATAATGTTATATTGAAAATAAAATTAATGTTTATAGGTTCAGAAGTAGATATATGGAGTATGGGAGTCCTACTATATGCATTACTTTGTGGTTTTCTCCCCTTTGATGACAATAGTATAGAGAATTTATATAGAAAGATCCTTGTAAAATTTTTTAGTTCGAAAATATATTATTGATAAATAATGATACTGATAAGTATATATTAATAATAGTAATAATTTTAGAGTGGTAAATATGATGAACCAAGCTGGTTATCAAGTAGTAGTAAAAGACTGATACGAGCAATGCTACAGATAGATCCAAAAAAGAGAATTACTATTCAGGAATTGTGCAATCATCCATGGATTACAGCCGGATTTCTTAATCCTGTTTCATTTGTTCATAAAACCAATGTAAATAATTTGTCTATACAGTGATGTATGTACATATACATATTTCAATTTTTTAATAAGCAAAAATTATAGTTTGAAAAAGACGATGACGTACTAAGTACTATGTCTGCAATATGCGGCGAACATGCTTCAGACATATGGAGAAAACTTGTAAAAAGTGATAGAACTGATTACAGGACTGCCACATATCTTTTACTTTTAGACAGAAAGCTTCGCGGACTTTCACTTCGAATATCACCTTCTGCAAAATCTCATTTTAAATCTGAGGTAATGTAATAAGACGTAGTTTAAATATAGTTTAAATATATCTTTGAAACTAAGGTAGAATTAATATTTTATTATCTGTAGTGTGAGGGAGGAGGTAATAGCATCATAACTAAACTTGATTGTTCTCCAAGAAGTAAATCTGTTAAATCACCAGTAACAGATGCTGATTACAAGATTTTACCAAAATCTCCCGATGCCAGTAAGTTTTACTAGTTTTTTGTTTTTTTTTTAGGTTAAAAAATTATTATTGTATTATTTTTTATCTAGCTAATGACTTCACGGAACCACATTTGCCTGGTAGAAAACGACTTCGAAGTAAGGATGAAGATGATGGATATTCTCCTGGTATGTTTCGCAAATTTCTCTTTTATTACGAAAAATTTGATTCATAATGCTCATTTTGTTTCATTAAACAATTTTCAGAAGTTTTTGTGTTTTATTACAGCCGTACTACTTAATTTTATAACGTATTTTCTAAAGTTTACTTCTAATTAGGTGATGCTAGCCATCTAATTAGAAACTTTAATTAAAGTTTCCAAGTACCATAAATTGCTGTGGTTGCGTGAAAAGCAGATAATTAAAGAAGACCAACGACTTGCAAACAAACACAATTTGGAGTTACAAATAGCTATTTATAAGAATGCTTTATCCCATTCCTTTCTGCAAGATATAATACCTTTTTACTATTTCTTATCTCTTTTTCTCAGTTCCTTTTAACTTTTAATTATTCATGCTTTTTATGTGATTTCAATTTTACGTGCAATTTATATAACAATTAATAAAAATTGTTTGCAGTTCCTACAAAGAGAGTTGCAGAAAAAGATAGGTTTGTTTGTACTCCAACTAATACTCCAACTAATACAGGATTGGAATCAAGGTAATATTGTAATAAGTATCAGGGTATCATAATACTAATTATAATAACAACGAAGTAATAGTTAAAGAAAATATTCAAGAAAAAAAAAATATTTAGGGGATCGCAATCGTCTACACCGGGAAGTGCAAGAAAAGTAATAATGGGTCTGGAACGTGGTTTAAATCGAATGCGATGTGTTTTGACACCAAAGAGACGCGTGAAAATTGAAAATACCGATCCTGAACAACCTAATGTACTTTCTGGAAAGGTATTTGTCTAATTACTTGTATAAGTGATAATTCTAGATTGAATTTACTATGATGATTCTTTTTGAAGGGTCTTTGTAATGTATCGTCAACATCCAACGATGACCCGAAATATGTTCTTTCACAATTACGTCGTGCTCTTCGTCGTAAAGGAATCATGTGTCATCAAAAAGGGTAATGCTTAAAAATGTTAATAACGTGTAATATTTTTATTATGAAAATATTTCCTTAGGTTTATCCTGCAAGGAGAAACGGAAGATTGTACAGAAGATAACAAAGATAGTGTGCGACCATTCTCATCCAGAAATGCTTGTTCCTTCGAATTAGAAGTTTGTTTATTAGAGGGTGTTTCAAACAAAAAATTAGTCGGTATTCGAAGAAAACGTTTAAAGGGTGATGCATGGGTTTATAAGCGGGTATGCGAAGAAGTTCTTGCTCTGGCAGCTAAAGATCTATCTGCAGAATCAGAAGGTTCAACAGAATCGAAATGTCCTATATAAAGTGTTCCTGACAAACATATATCCTTAATAATATAAATATATATTGAAAATAATACTTCACGAAAAGTCAATGAGACTATTCGATCATACATATTTTGATCTCCACTAATTATGTTAAATATATAGATTTTAGGTAAGGCAGATATAATTTTGTATGTACAATTTCAACAGATTATGGCAGCTTTGGCATGTGTATATTTGCATCAAATGTTAGAATGTAGTTTCTTCTGAGAAGAAACAATCATAGGGGAAATATCATAAAAATATGAAAGTTATAATGAATATTTCTCCAACTTTACAATGATATATAGAAAAACTTATAGTTCCAGTGATTATTACAATCATTAATTGTGTAATATTGTTTATACAGTACAAGGGAATTATGAAAAAATTTTATTATTTCTTATAATTTTCATTTAGTAATAAAGTATCATTAAAACTCACTTTTTATACATTAAAAGTATATTATGTATTATTGTATAAAAGTAATCAGACAATAAAAATGAAGATATATATATATTTCTATAAATTAAAATGATTCTATAAAATGTTAAAGAATAAAACCTTTGGTAGACTGAAGTTATCAATACGAACAGCAGTTCGATCGCAGTACAAAGAAACTTTTTAAAACAAGAATTATGAATTTCAGCCGCTTCCAGTGGAATATGTAAAGCTCCGTTTTGAGTCTATGCCGCAGATATAAAACATCGCGGCTCGTTTGAACCGCACGCCAACTATTATGGACAAGGCAAAGTTATAAAATCACCACAAATCGATCAGCATAAAGTGAAGCCGCATGCACTTTGCTTTATGGTCAAACCGACCTTTTATCTTTGCCCGCTCAATAATCGTCTTGTACTTGTTCGTAAGTAGTCTTGCCGAGCTCTACGCCGCTGAGGTTCGACTGGCACGCTCTGATTTCGATCGAAACAAAGCGATATCCGCAGGAGATCGAGTTATTCGAAGCACGTAAACGCGGGAATAAAGGCATTCTGAAATCGCCGGGATGACTGTAGAAGTTTTGTAAGTAGCAAATTTGATTTTTGTATTTTGTAGAAATTTTATGGACAGTTCCAAATTCTTCTAAAGAAGGGTAATATTTACCTATCTTTTATTTTCGCGACTTGACGGTAACTGTAACTGTTGAAGAAATGCAACAAAACGAATATACTAAATCATAAGTTTTTTATTGTAGCAAATTTCACGTCGAAAACCTACTATTAAAATCGTCGAATTATTACACGATCGAATTAATTTTATGGTGATTGACTTTTCACGACGAGGAATAGAACAGCGGCCTCTCAACTACAGTCGTTTCGTGCTGGATAATATCTTGATGGGCCGATTAATTAAACGGGTTATTTCGCAAAATTAATCAAACAGTTACGGAGACAAAAAGCGCGGACGATATAAATGAAGCAACCGCGTAAGACGCGGACCTAAGTCGTCCCTGGGTATAAATTACAATTAACCGCTGTAGCATGCGTGCGCGTTCGCGTGAGCGCACGCACGTGCAACTTACGGTATTAAACTCATCCTGCATTTTATCGAAACACGCCGAAGAATATCGCGCTAGAAGAAGAACGCCATCGGGTGGTCAGGTATACAAGGATCTTCGTAGAAGGTTTTTTTTTCCATCTGAACCAATCAAAGATGCTTCCAGGCCAATGATTAAGCTGTCTAACAATTATTACGACGCCATTTGCATATTACTCGGCAGCTCTCGGGCAACGTTTCATTTCAGCGAAAGGAAATTTTCGAAACGGTTGATTTACGATATCGATTTCGAGGCCAGTTGAAAAAAAAAAAAAAGAAATTAGAAAACCAGCCTTTGAAAATTGTCTGCTGTTATTTTATGGAACTTACATACATATATGATCGTTATAAATTGAGTCTATTCGTCCCTCTTTTAGTCGATGGTGAATTAATGACATTGATTGGATAAATTGTGTAAGACATTTTTCTTAAATATATGGAGAATATTATTTTTTTAATTACATCAATATAACATTTAAATATAATGTCGATTATATTTAAATATTTAATATTAATAAGTATTAATATTTAATTTCTTATTGTAAGTACAAAATTAAATGGGTTCTGTAAAAAATATTGACAAATTTTACTAGAGCCGAATCTTTTAAAAAATTAAATCAACATAATGCAAATCCTCGAATTTTGGAAATAATGTAAGATATAGATTGCTGGCCAAAAGTGTTTTCTATCGTGCATAAAATATTCAAGAAAATAAAATTTATTCTCGTGTCACCATTTTCTATAATAATAATAAAAAAAAACTACATAGAGATTTAAGTTTCAGAGTTAGAATTTCAATATTACCCTGACAACGTCGTTCGTTCGTACCGGCCATCACAAATTATAGTATAAACTCGCGATTAAGGATCACCGATTTCTTATCCGTTCATCGAGTTACCCCGTGTCCGATCGTTACGGTTGTTCGCAGGATAAAAGAAAGGGACTGCGAGTCAAGCAGACCGTAGTCGATGGACGTACATATGCGTATGTTATTCACCACGTGCCCTTCGTTCTCGCCAATGGATCGGGTGTCGTACACCGGCTCGTACCAATTACCGTCTGGCCGCCGGTTAATTAAGGATTGGGGCAATGAGGCCCGGCGATGCAGTTTCCGTGATAATGATTATCTGCGACGGTAATTGAGCGAGCTGTTACGCCAGCAAACCGAGACATCGGCGAACGTCGAGAATAAAGAACCAGGAAACTTGTGATATCTTGTTTCAGAAAGATTTGAGAAGAAGAAAAATCAGCATTGTCAGCACGTAAGGTACAATAACTGAAGCGACTGTTACAACTTCGTGAAGAAAGAATCACGTAACAATTCACTTGATCTCATTTTTGACAATCTTGAGTTTGTTGTTTTTTTTAGAGATGTTTTTATATTATTATACAGCAAGTAGGAAAATGAGGATACTTCTTTTGCAAAAATTCAAATGTCTCTAAAAACATTGAAATTGAGATACATAATTATTTGATATATCTGATGGTTCAATTTCCTCTTTAATATCGCCCATATTGTAGACCAATTTCACTTGACCCCTAAACAGGTGGGGAATACCCGGACGAAGAATAAAGGATGGAAATGGGGTAATGTTCGCGTGTTTTATGTCTTATTTAGCATAATAATATTGAAAACAAATTTATTCATATACTTTACATTTGAAATCTTTTTTAATCTAAATCATTAAACCCACTTTTTAATGTATTCCTTATATACTTTCAAATTAAATCCACCAACGATCCATCTTTCTAGAGGCATAGATTAATTGTCTCTTCTTTGTCTGCTAATAAGGTGAATAATTTTGAAGTAAAAGTAGGTAGAAAGATCTTTGCAATCTTTTAACATCAACCATTAACTCTTCATTAACATTAAATGTTTAGAACCGTTATCTCATTAGTGATCATAATTTTCAAATAATTTTCTAATTAATTCGAAATCGATGCTGCAGATATGAATAGAAATTTTCTTTATTTCGATAGATCTTTGTCCAAACTTTCCTACAGTAGAATTCTATTTTTGTTTTTAATTTTAACCTTATCATAATTCTTCAGTAGATCTAGTGTTCATACAGATATTAATAATTTAAATTTTCTCTACTTTAATGGATCTATTTCTAAAAGAATCTCAAGTCAACTTTCCATTTTAGCTTATCACATTCGTTGGTGTTAATATACGGAAAGAGGAATTTCTTTTATTTTATATAGATCTTTGTACAAAGGCTTTTTGTTTAATAATAAAAGAATCTTTCTTTTTGAATGCAATTCAACAAGTTTTGACAATTCTACGGTAGTTCAATTCCAAATTAATAGACAGACACCACGATAGAAAAATTTCTAGTCAAACGTTTTCTCAATCATACTGCCTCCAAACTTTTCACGAGTAGCGTATCATCAAATTACGTCCGCTTACTTATAACTCACCTTTGCGAGAGCCTAGATTAATCGTCCTTTCTTCATCTGCATAGGTACGGGGTACCAAAGCAGCAGAGGTACGTGAATAATTCCAGCAGGAAGGAGGGAGAAACTTCTTTGGATGACCTGGGAGGCGAGCCTGCAAGTAAAACGGCTGGACGAGGATCGGTGTGGATGTACGCGGGCACGAACAGGTACGCGTTCATAGACGAAGAAAAGGTAAGGGTGGCACGCGCGGCCCGCTTCTATCGCTTCCGGGCATCAGCGTGCTCGCGAGCCGCGGCTAATTGCTCTTTAATGCAAGCGAGCGAGCGCGTTGCTTTTCTTAGACGTCGAGGGAAACTGACCGACGTCCTGCACGGCCGTAAGAAGCAGAATATGCGAGATTTATGCCGGCCCCCGGACTTTTCGTCACGCTTTGTTTGGAGCACGGTTCTAGTTTTGAGAAAACTCTCTTCTTTGAGGCCTCTCTTCCTTCTTTTTAATTGCGACGGATAACTGTGCGTCTGATATCGATCTACGCCTGGATATACGTACAATTAGACTACAACACGGTTAATAATTGGGGAACAACGTGTACGGATTGAGAAACATCGTAGAAACTTTCTCGTTTTTAAATTATGCATTGGTCATGACGTTGAGCAATGCAGAATTTTTCTTTTCTGTGCCGATGATTTGTTTTAAAATTTTCACCATTGCCGGGCTTAATAGGTCGTCGTAGATTTTTCTGTATCTACGTTGATTCCCATGGGTGTCAACAGCGTAAGCAAATTTGTTGCTCGTGGGTCTGATCCAATGCGTTCCAATGAATCGAATTTGTCATTTATTTCGATATGTTGATTTGTAATAGTGCTGGTTTCTTTTGTTTTTAAATTAAGAGATATATAATACATGAAAAAATATATGTTATTTTATATTAATAGAAGCGGAAACAGGATCGTGGTTCATATCTTTTTAGCAAAATTAAAAATTCATTTAATCTACTATATTTATTCTCATCTTTTCCATGAAATGCTTCGTTCAGTTCCAAATTCCTCTGAAAAATGTATAAAACATCCGAATACTGCTGCCTGTAGTATTAGACACGTAAAATAATTTTCTACAAGTACAGTTTAATAGATGAAACAA